TTCCTGGTTTGAATTCAAAACGAGAACTTTTTGAGATAATATTGGTCTAAAGTTATTTAACTAAATTTATATGTGTGTTGCTAATAAAACAAAATTTTTACAGATTTCATTGGGAGATCTCGTATTGTGTCATTTTATAACTGTCAATATTCGTCAGTTTTCGATTGCTCACTGAATCAAGCTAACCTCTTAATAAAAAATACTACTTCCCATGTACTTGTAATACATTCTTTAAATAAAGATTCATTTTTGTTATAAACATCGTTGTAGTGTTTAAAATATTGTTTCAAAAAGTTCTCGTTTCAAGTTCAACATTTTTCTGTAATCAAACCAGGAAATTTACTCTACAAGCGTATATGGAGTTATGAAAACTCACAAAGAGGAGGCGGAGCAGATTAAATTCGCTGGGTAAAAAAATCTGTTGCTATAATTTTGCCGATTTGAAATAGAAAATTTTAGATTTGCTTCTAGAATGTAAATCGAATACAAAAAAATGATTTTTTTCTAAAACTTCGTCGAATTCATTCATTTCAATTTTGAATTGACATCAAAATCGTTGAAGATTTCTTTTTTAAATAGAATTCTTCTTGAATCTCTTACTTTCTTGATTAATTTATTAATTATATATTCTTTGGTATAGAGCGAATGGTCTGCTAAAAATAAAAAAAGAAAGAAAGCTCTAATCGTATTTTTTGTTATACTATTTGTTATAACATTTATTTTTTATTTCAGAGAAAAAACATGAGAAAACGGGTGGGTGGGTGGGGAAAGTTTAACTTTTTCCTACTGAGTCTTTTATAAACAAGCAATAGCCCCGCCCACCCACCCCCTCTTCATTCCAGAGATTACTCTTCATATTGTTCAGTCATTTACCAAAATCAGTCTTACCTTAACAAATACTAGCCCCACCCACCCGCCCTCTATTTTCTTAGAGAGTATGTCATTTGCCACAATTAGTTTTATCTTAGCAAATACTAGCCCCGCCCATCCACCCTCTATTTTCTTAGAGAATGTCATTCTAACAATTTTATTTCTGTTCAGTATAGGATCAACCTTTCATTTGGACTAGATAAAACGAATTAATGAAATGGAGGAGGCTGGGTGGGCGGGGTTAATTATATGATCTCTTGTAGAGTGAAAATGGGAACTAATAGAACGTAGGCCGATTAAAAAAGAAAACAAAAGCTCCAATCGTTTTTACTTTTTGCTATAACATTTAGGAGTATTTTTTATTTCAAAAGGAAAAACAAATGACAAACCGGGTGGGTGGGTGGGGCTAGGTTTACTTTTTCTTAGAGGATCTTTTATAAGCGAGCAATAGCTCCGCCTATCCACCCCCTCTTCATTCCAGTGATTACTCTTAATATTGTTCAGTTATTTACTAAAATCAGTCATATCTTAACAAATACTAGCCCCGCCCACCCGCCCTCTATTTTCTTAGAGAATATATCATTTGCCACAATCAGTCTTATCTTACCAAGTATTAGCCCCACCCACCCGCCCTTTATTTTCTTACAGGGTATATGATTTGCAAAAATCTGTCTTATCTTACCAAGTATTAGCTCCACCCACCCGCCCTTTATTTTCTTACAGGGTATATGATTTGCCAAAATCTGTCTTATCTTAGCACGTACTAACCCCGCCCACCCGCGCTGTTCTCATTCTAACGATTTTATTTCTGTTAAATATAAGATCCACCTTTAATTCTGACTAGATAAAATGAATCAATGAAATAGAGGGGGGTGGGTGGGCGGGGTTAATTGTATGTTCTTTTGCAGAGTGGAAATTAGAACTAATAGAACGTAGGCTGTTAAAAAAAAAAAGAAAAAAAGTTCAAATCTTTTTTTCTTATTTATTTGCTATAACATTTATTTTTTATTTCAGAAGAAAAAAAAAAGAGAAAACGGGTGGGTGGGTGGGGTTAAGTTTAACTTTTTCTTAGAGTGTCTTTTATAAGCGAACAATAGCTCCGCCCATCCAGCCCCTCTTCATTCCAGTGATTACTCTTAACATTGTTCAGTCATTTACTAAAATCACTCATATATTAACAAATACTAGCCCCGCCCACCCGCCCTCTATTTTCTTAGAGAATATATCATTTGCCACAATCAGTCTTATCTTAGCAAGTACTAGCTCCGCCCACCCGTGTTGTTCTCATTCTAACGATTTTATTTCTGTTCATTATAAAATCTACCTTTCATTCTGACAGATAAAATGAATCAATGAAATGGACGCGGGCTGGGTGGGCGGGGTTAATTATATGATCTCTTGTAGAGTGGAATTGGGAACTAATAGAACGTAGGCCTATAAAAAAATAAAAAAAAGCTGTAATCGTAATTTGTTGTTACTATTTCCTATAACATTTAGGGGTATTTTTTATTTCAAAAGAAAAAAATGAAAAAACGGGTGGGTGGGTGGGGCCAAGTTTAACTATTTCGTAGAGTCTTTTATAAGCGAGCAATAGCTCCGTCCATCCACCCCCTCTTCATTTCAGTGATTACTCTTAACATTGCTCAGTCATTACTAAAATCAGTCATATCTTAACAAATACTAGTCCCGCCCACCCACCCTCTATTTTCTTGGAGAGTATATAATTTGCACAATCAGTCTTTTCTTAGCAAGTACTAGGCCCGCCCACCCGCCCTCTATTTTCTTAGGAAGTATGTCATTTGCCAAATTCAGTCTTATCTTACCAAGTATTAGCCCCACCCACCCGCCCTTTATTTTCTTACAGGGTATATGATTTGCCAAAATCTGTCTTATCTTAGCACGTACTAACCCCGCCCACCCGCGCTGTTCTCATTCTAACGATTTTATTTCTGTTAAATATAAGATCCACCTTTAATTCTGACTAGATAAAATCAATCAAAGAAATAGAGGGAGGGTGGGTGGGCGGGGTTAATTATATATTCTTTTGTAGAGTGGAAATAGGAACTAATAGAACGTAGGCTGTTAAAGAGAGAAAAAAAAGTTCTAATCTTTTTTTCTTATATTATTTGCTATAACATTTATTTTTTATTCCAGAAGAAAAAAAATGAGAAAACGGGTGGGTGGGTGGGGTTAAGTTTAACTTTTTCTTAGAGTGTCTTTTATAAGCGAACAATAGCTCCGCTCATACACCCCCTCTTCATTCCAGTGATTAGTCTTAACATTGTTCAGTCATTTACTAAAATCAGTCATATCTTAACAAATACTAGCCCCGCCCACCCACCCTCTATTTTCTTGGAGAGTATGTAATTTGCCACAATCAGTCTTTTCTTAGCAAGTACTAGGCCCGCCCACCCGCCCTCTATTTTTTTAGAGAGTATGTCATTTGCCAAATTCAGTCTTATCTTACCAAGTATTAGCCCCACCCACCCGCCCTTTATTTTCTTAGAGGGTATATGATTTGCTAAAATCAGTCTTATCTTAGCACGTACTAACCCCGCCCACCCGCGCTGTTCTCATTCTAACGATTTTATTTCTGTTAAGTATAAGATCCAGATTTAATTCTGACTAGATATTGAATCAATGAAATAGAGGGGGGTGGGTGGGCGGGCTTAATTATATAATCTTTTGTAGAGTGGAAATTGGAACTAATAGAACGTAGACTGTTAAAAAAAAAGCTCTAATCATTTTTCTTATATTACTTGCTATAATATAACATTTATTTTTTATTTCAGAAGAGAAAATGAGAAAACGGGTGGGTGGGTGGGGCTAAGTTTAACTTTTCTTTAGAGAGTCTTTTATAAGCCAGCAATAGCCCCGCCCATCCACCCCCTTTTCATTCCAGTGATTGCTCTTAACATTGCTCAGTCATTTACTAAAATCAGTCTTATCTTAGCAAACACTAGCCCCGCCCACTGTTTTCTTAGAGATTATATTATTTGCCATAATCAGTCTTATCTTAGCAAGTACTAGCTAGCCCCGCCCACCCGCCCCCTATTTTCTTAGAGAGTATATCCTTTGCCACAATCAGTCTTATCTTAGCAAGTATTAGCCCCGCCCACCCGCCCTCTCTTTTCTTAGAGTATATATGATTTGCCACAATTACTCTTATCTTGGCAAGCACTAGCCCCGCCCAACCGCGTTGTTCTCATTCTAACATTTTTATTTCTGTTCAACATAAGATCTACCTTTCATTCTGACTAGATAAAATGAATCAATGAAATAGAGGCGGGGTTGGTGGGCGGGGTTAATTAGATATTCTTTTGTAGAGTGGAAATGGAAACTAATAGAACGTAGGCTATTAAGAAAAGAAAAAAAGCTCTAATCTTTTTTTTTTGTTATATTGCTATAACATTTATTTTTTATTTCAGAAGAAAAAAAAAATGAGAAAACGGGTGGGTGGGTGGGGCCAAGTATAACGTTTTCTTACAGAGTCTTTTATAAGCAAGCAATAGCCCCGCTCACCCACCCCCTCTTCATTGCAGAGATTATTCTTCATACTGTTCAGTCATTTACCAAAATCAGTCTTATCATAACAAATACTAGCCCCGCCCACCCGCCCTCTCTTTTCTTTGAGTGTATATAATTTGCCGCAGTCAGTCTTATCTTAGCAAATATTAGCTTCGCTCACCTGTGCCGTTCTCATTCTGACGATTTTATTTTTGTTGATAAGATCCACCTTTCATTCAAAGCAGGTAAAATGATTCATTGAAATGGAGGAGGGGTGGGTGGGCGGGGTTAGGCTATTAATATGAAAAAAAAACGCCGAGTGTAAAATTTTTGAAAATATACTGTATTTTTTTATTAACTTTCATGTATCCAGAGTAATTACTCCTAATCAACATTATTTTATTAAGTTACTAAATTTAATTTTAATTTTAATTTCTGTGAATTTTCAAAAACTTTTCAAAATTTTTGAACATCTGGAGTTTCACGTTCTCTCATAGCTTGATGGAATCTTATTTACAAAATCGTTCTCGGTATGTTTTCTGTTTGGGATACCGTTCCAAATCTTACAGTCAGTGGTGTGGAGTACCACAAGGGTCGGTCCTCGGACCGCTCCGCTTTAGTAGAACTTTACTACATTTTTTTTTTTAAATCAAAAATGTTACTGACTGCGAAAAATTACGACGCTATACCTAAAAACCTTTAATCTTTATTCCGAAAATTGTTATTACCATAGCTTATTATGGCTCTCACAAGAAACAGTCGTTTTTGAATGTCTATTATAAAATGCGTTGTTTTTTTGTTTTCCAACCACCCTGTATATGTCTCATTTTCTGTGTGCACGCTCGAGGTCGCTCCGCCCCTGTTTTTCTTTTTTCCTGGTAATTTAGATTATGGTTCCATTACGGAAATTACCCCATTTCCCTCCAAAAAATCTCCTAATCGATCAAACAAAAATCGCTGCCGAGATTGGTTTCCATTTATTAAATGCGCGTTCGAGCCTCATCAATATACGTTTGATCCGCGCGGGTTTTTCCATATTGTCCGAGGGTAGAACTGTTTTTCCGAAGGGCGGTCGCGTCGAAAAACGGCATTTTTCATTCGCACGTAAGTAATTTATCGATTTCGAATGTCGGCGTCAAGGTTCGCGGTATTCACTTGTGTTCTTCGTTGTTTTCCGAGGTGAGTGTTTGGAAAACTATTTCGATACGGAGCCGGGAAATGCCGGCTTGAATCAAATGGAAAGGGCGTGTATAGCGAGGGAAATTGGCTGAGGGAGGATGTGCGAAAATTTCGATGATTATGGAAAAATGGGGGGCGCAGGGCGGAAGAATCCGGCGGAATATACTCGTAATGGGGTAAATAAAAATGGATTGTTTATTTTGTGAACGCAGCCGGTTTTGTTTTTGTGGAGTACGAACTTGTAGCATCTGAATTGAAATTTGCTTACAACGTGGAAGATGGAGCTCAGCGGAGCGTTTTAATAAAGAAATAGGTTTTGTTGAATAACGCTATGTGGAAATTGTTTTGCTGAACATGGTGGAAAACCTTGGAAACTGATCGATACACACGACGGATAATGTTTATCGACAGATGTTGTACAATGTGGCAACAAAAATAAAACGCAATTCAAAGTCAAAAACATGGAATATTTGCGGACAAAAAACTGCAACAAAAAAAATCTTCATGAAAACTTCGAGAACATGTACAACGAGTTTCAGAGTCGAAGACTTTGTCTTAGTTCCCGCTGATTACTTTTTCATATCTTAGGGTTCATACTAATTCTTCCACTCCCGTGCGCTCATCTATATTTTCAGGCCGGTATTTGCGTTTTTTGTTTTTTCGCCCATCCTCATTACTTTTCTGTACAACGGAAAAAAATTTTCCTGTCAGTATTTGTTTACAAAAAACAACTTTTTCAGCGTTACTCATAGCAACGTTGAAGCCTGTGGGGCCAAGGACATTTTTCAGTCATTTTGTTAATACAGCACTTTTTCACCCTCTTTTCATTTACTTAATTTGCATCTCTCAATTTTCAAAAAAACCCAAAATTTATCATAAGTGAAAATCTTCCTACCGTGGGCTTTCGTTCGTGAAACAAAACCCCTTGTGTAAATGAATTATGTTTGACATTTTCAAGTAACAAATACCAAACCAATTACATAATTTTTTCAGTTATTAAACACACACAGTGGGCGGCCTCACAAAAAAACCTCCAACTGCTTTTAACTTCTGTTTACTCCTACCAAACAGAATGTTTTAAAACCCCTGACTTCTGACATCTTCCCCCGCCCGCCCCCCACTTAATTAAATCCACCCCTGCCTTTACAAATTCATCTATTTATGTTTACATACAATTACGTTGGAACCCACCCGCAAATGAAATTCGCATGAATTTTATGGAAGTCCGCAACTAACCCACCACGTAATATTTTTCATTGCTTGTTTTTATTTACCCCCTTGGAAAAAATATCACGTATTAACGTCGATGTAAAAGATCATTGCCACCGCTCGACTCATAAACTCATCGCGAATTAAAAGCGAAACGTCTTGGCCGTAAAAGACCAACGTTACGAGTCACGTGACTTAAATAGCACGCGCTTGTTCCTGACGGTTTTTTTGCAAACAATGGTTAAATTTTCACGACGTCTCCGAGGGTGAATGGCTTTTGTTCCGCGGTGATTTTTTCCAGGAAGAGTGGATCTTCGCGCGTTAATTAATGACACGAACCAGACTAATAATCTCCCGGTATATACCTTTTCCAGGATCATTAATTACCCAACAACTTTCTCGTGATAGATTCGAGCCGGGTCATTTATTATTGCTGCAAGTTCTAATTTTATTTTGTGGAAATTTTTAACTAGGTGCTAAACTCGCCGAATTATGGTTCTGGGACAACGTAATTTATAGTTTCGTGTATTCAGGGGAGAGTAGTGACCCTTTTAAGACGCCCTTGGGCCCTATCACGCATGGAAATTGAATCGCCATAAATATCGCAAGTGGGTTAATTAGGAAGCGCGGGGAGCAGTATTTTTGTCGATTGACGGTGAAAACTCGTACGGATTTTTATTTTTTTTATTTCATTATAATCTCAACGCTAAATTCTTTTGACGGCTTTCGTACGTCGTAAAAGGGAGCTGAAAGCTTTTTTCAGAAAGGGTGGGTATTGGATAACATGCCTCACGCAATGTAAATGTTAAATGTTTTGTCTTCATCCTACAACAATTTTAGAAGGTTCTAGGGCATGAACTCTCGTACATATTGATTAATTTTACCAACAATTTAGCATAACATCGGGGTGTCATTTATAAAGCGCTGAAATAACGAGGGACTCCCGTTGGAGCCTGGTTGGAATAATAGAGAAAAAATTGATTTAAAAGTTCGAAATTTCCACTTTGTAAATTTTTAAAATTCGTCGACCGCTAACCCTTGTAGCGCCCATTCTGCCCCGTCCCGTTTTTCCTTCCTCTCGAAAATGCCAATCACTCGACACAAAAGCGACCGCCCCAAGACCGAATTTCTAAAAATAACTGCCCCATATATCATCCCATTTGCAATGTAAAACACTCCGATATTTTCAAAGAAAGCTCCCGATCCGAGGCAACGTATCGCGTTATTGTAGCCCGTCTGAAAAAAACGATTTCCGTACGCCGCCATCTTGCCACATGCCCGTAAGGCAATTGTAACGTCTTTTAATACCGGCGAAAAGATAAAGTGCGGCTTTTCCGCGGCCCAAACGACGTTATTAAATTGAATAGCGGGGATTAATCAAGCCGGAAAAGTTTAAAATAAACAAAATCGCGCGCGCCGGAAAATCTACATATGCAAATCTAATTAGCATTTATTTTAATTTCGGACGAGGAACATTAGGTCGGATTTGGATTTTATTATTCGGCGAGCGGGATTAGGGATGTTTGGTTTCCATTTGGATTCTTTGTTAGGTAGGCAGCCATTTATACGACTAGCGCGGAAAGGAGCTTAGCCCCGAGGGTAATAGTTTTCGCTTCTGACGACATAAATTTGATATGACGTGAGTCGAGGACAAAAGTTTCGGCGGTCTGCGGAGACGGGACCGAGAGTAAATCTCGTGGATTTAAAGGGACGATTGGGTTATTACACGCAACTTTCTTGTCTCGAAAATGAACATCAGGTGTTGCGTGACACGACAAAGCACAACTTATTTTCGGTAAAGTTCGTGGGAAGTTCACAGGTGGTTTCCCCGCTACGTAGATTTGTCCCCGGAAAAACCGTCCACTTGTAGAACACCACGTCGCGACCACCACTGTCCTTCTCCATTCATTAAAAGACCAAACACTTAAAAAAAAAAAAAAAACGAAAACAGCTAAAATTGTGCGTATTTAAGACGAAAACCTTCGCTTTCCACGATTAGCCTCACCCATCTTAATTATAAATTTTTCCGTCTCCCTAAATCGCTTAAAGTATTCATTTGTGGCGGCTGCAGCACGGCGCCGCTCCCCGCCGCCGTCACCTAACCGCCAAAACAAAATCCAACAGGTGTTTGTCGGGCCTTTATCAGTGCATGCCCATAAATCCCGCGTCGTCTTGATGAAGGGACTGGCCGATAAAAAATGCTAGCGTGCGTCTGCCAGCCGGCCGATCCGGGCATATTCCGGCGGTCTCCGGTACCCCTGGGCGCGCCGCCCCTCAAAATCACCAAAGCCCTGCCCGGAAGAACCGTCAGACTAACGACTCCGGTCATCACCGACCCGCCGAAGAGCGCCACGGAAGACAGCAACGACAAGATGAAGACGAAACACAAAAAATGCAAAAGGCAGAGCGACAAAGACAAATGTAGTGAGAACGGGGACGGCGGCAAGGAGAAGAGGAAAACGGGCGAGTTCGAGAAGGTAGAGGTCGATGTGTAGCCGTTTCGTTGTGTTTTTTTTTACCGAAAAATTGGTTTCAATTGGTTATAACCAATAAATTCCAATTGAAACCATTTTAGTTGTTTAATTGGATTCGGATGGTTATAACCAAGACGTGCCAACACAATCCAATCAATTGGTATCCGTGAAAATTCGGATAAATACCCACTGGACGCCATTATTGCCCATTTACTTAAACGATTTCGTCTCAGAATGCCGTTCGTATTGGTTCCGATGGGGATTGTATTGGGAACTTCTCTCTATTTAGTTATCACGTGACCGCCGTGCCGCAATTATCTAATTATCCCGTGCGGTAATTCGATAATTATAAGCGGCTCGCGTGAAATGAGCGTTATTATCGCTTGTTTCAATTAAAATCGGTCGCTTCTCGAGGAGTTTTTCCGTTTTCCGAATCGCACCTTCGCCATGTGGGCGCGCCGACTCCACCCTCGCAAGAATAAACCTCCTAAATTCATTAATCTTCGCCGTCCGACATATCAAATTACTGTCGCGCAATTTTTAACTTTGTAACTCGCGCTTTCCGCCTTTTAATGGATTGTTATGTGTTGCATTTAACTTTTCTCTCTGAAAAAGCGAGTTTCCCCAAAAACTACTCCCCCGAAGCGATACTTTCCGGACTTGGACGTTTTATTTCGAGTCCGGGACCCTAAGTGAATTGTCGCCGGAGTTCGCCCACATTTTATTCCTGCGGCAGCAGGAAAACAATAAAAGAATTTATGTTGTATGACGGCGTTGCGACGGTACATGAGCGACAAGTGGCGGAGTTTTACGCTTTTTACCCAATTCATAAATTGCATTAGTCGGCTTCGGAACGCCGTTACCCTACCCGAAAAATTTCATTTTATGACTTACGAACCTACTTGAGTACGAAAAGTACGACGGCGTTTTATTAAGATAACCCCGTACCATTGTTTAAGTATATTATAGTTGGACAACCTAATACAAATTTTACTTCGCCTAAATAGTGAGCTTTAGGACAAGGAATCCAAGGGGCGTGGGACAAATTTTTCGTCAACGCGCATTTTCACTACAGTGAGCCAACGTATTAGATTTATTTTACTCTACATCAGATGGCGCCATCAAACATTAGCAAAGGCAAACACCCTTCACTCTGCTCTTATACGAGGAGTTATCCATAAATCCATAATTAACATTGTTCCGTAAACAGTAATGTGTATAAACATATATGTACAAAATATGAAAATATACTTGACATAAAAAATATGAAGCAACGCGTTGTAACGTGATATGAAAGAATTGTATTTAAATGAATTTGACGCCTATTTTTATTTGACTATATCTGAAGACTGGCAGAAACTTACCAAGGGTTTTTAAACTGGTATAATTGTTTAGTTTTACAAGATTAAAGTAAAATTTAGATTCGTGGTGTTACAAAAATATTAACACAAAATGAAAATATATATTCAAAGTAAATAACAGAATGACATAAACTTTCGGCGTTGACATTACAAATAATTACAAGACAGAAAAAAAGGCATTAAGAACTTCAGAGACATGTTTGTAATTTCGAGTTGTTAAAGGCTGCTTTGAAGACTGTTTTTTTCTATGAAAAACAATTGCTGTTATCCGGCGTTTTGGTAGATTTTGTTCAAAAAATACGAGATAACTAATTGATTCTTGAACTAGTTCTTCTAAAATTTAAAATGGATACGCCGTTCTGCTGTAATAAATTCTAGAATAAGGTCAAAATCACACTAATATTACATCTGATTTTGTTAACCACATGAATATAATTTACATTAAAATAAGTTATAGACATTGTTTGAAATGTTTATTATATTTCGAAAACACGATAAAATAAATAAATAAATAAATAAAATGTGCATCCGTGTCGAGTTTTCACCTTTGACATCAAGATTTTTGGAAAAAAATCAACATTTTCCGATTTATAATGCTATTTAAATTTTAAAAAGTAGCATAGTCCTGATTTATAAATACGCTATTGAGATTTTTCGGCTTGTCGATTTCTCGATTTTTCAACTTTAAATCTCTCAATTTTTCAATATTTCAATTTTGGGTTTCTCCGATTCTTCCATTCTTCAAATTTTCTATTTCTCGATTTTTTTATTTTTCGATTTCTCAATCTTTCGATGTTGCAATGATACGATTTCTCAATTTTTGTCCTCTTCAATTTTACGGTTTTTAAATATTTCGATTTTTCAAATTTTCACGTTTCTAAATTTTCAGTTTGCCGATTTCTAAAGTATTTTTTTTTTATTTGCCCATTTCTGGACTTCCTAAAGTTTCGATTTTTCACACCTTCAATTCTTCAATTTTTTAAGATTACGATTTTTCGATTTTGCTGTTTTAGATTTTCGATTTCTCAATTTTCCAATTTTGTAATTTCTCAATTTTTTGAATATTTCTTTCAGTTATGAGATTTTTCAATATTTCAATTTTTCGACTTTTCGATTTTTGAATTGATGGATTTTTTTTGATTTCTCGATTTTTTACATTTTGGATTTTCAATTTATTGTAAACTTTAGATTTTTCAATTCTGCGACTGTTTAATGTTTCGATTTCTCAATTTTTCAACTTTTCGATGTTTTAATATTTCATTTTTTAAAATTCTAGGTTTTTCGATATCTCGAGTTTTCAATTCTTCTATATTTCAATTTTTCGATTTTTTTAATTTTAATTTTCGATTTTCCAGTTTTTCTTTTTTAAAATTTTTCGATGATTCAATTTTTTTAATTTCTCAATTTATCGAATTCAGATGTTTCGTGGTTTTGATTGTTCAATTTCTCAATTTTTCAATTTTTAACTTTCCTTTTCGGCTTCCAACTCCTCAATTTCTCGATCCTCCAATTTTTCGATTTCTCAAAGTCTCAGTTTTTGAATTTTTCGATGTTTAGATTTTTGGATTTCTCGGTTTTTCGATTTTTGTCTTTTGAGCTTTTCAATTTCTGGATTTTCCAATTTTTCAATGTCCCGATTTTTCAATTTTTCAAATTGAATTGGATTTCTCGATTTTTGAATTTTCAGTTCTTCAGTATTTAAATTTTTCAATTTTTCAAATTTTTGCGTTAAATTTTCAGTTTTCTGATTTCTCAATTAATTTATTTTTGATTTTCCCGTTTCTCAAAGTTTCGATTTTTCAGTTCTTCAATTCTTCGATTTTTCGACTTCGCTTTATTGGTTTTTAGATTTCTCAATTTTTGGATATTTCTTTCAGTTTTGATATTTTTCAATACTTCGATTCTTTGATTTTTCGACTTCTAGATTTTTCTATTTTTTATTTTTGGATTTTCAGTTTTTCGTTTTTTATACTTTAGATTTTTCAATTTTCCGATTGTTTTATATTTCAATTTCTCAATTTTTCAACTTTTCCATATTTTAATTTTTAAATTTCTAGATTTTTCGGTTTCTCGAGTTTCCACTTCTATATTTTAATTCTTCAAATTTTCGAATTTTTTAATTTTTTGGGATCTCAATTTATTGAGATTCGGATGTTTCGATGTTTTGATTATACAATCTCTCGCTTTATCAATTTTTCCATATTTAAGTTTTCGATTTTGCCCTATTTCGGTTTCTCAATTTTTCAATTTTTCGATTTCTCGGTTGTTCGACTCTTCGATTTTTTTGTCTTTTGATTTTTCAATTTCTCGATGTCTCAATTTTTGAATTTTACAATGTTTCGATTTTTCGATTTGTTGGTTTTTCGATTTTTTGCTCCTCAGTTTCTCGATTTTTCGATGTTTCGATTTTTGAATTTATCCGATATTTCAATTTTCCAATTTTTTAAATTTTCGACTTCTCGATTCGTTGATTTTTCAGTTTTTCGATTTTTAAATTTTAGATTTTCGAATTTTTATTTTTTTGAATTTGTGATGTTTGGATTTCTCCATTTTTCAGTTTTAGGATATTTTAACTTTTCAATGTTTTAAATAATAGATTTTTCGATTTTTCAGTTCTTAATATTTTTTTATTTTTCAAATTTGGCGTTTCTGAATATCTAGTTTTCGAAATTTTCAATTAATCTATTTTTTAATATTCCCGTTTCTCCACTTCCTAAAGTTTCGATTTTTCAATTCTTCAGTTCTTCAATTTTTCGATTATTCAGGTTTTTGATTTTTCAATTTTTAGATTTTTTAAGTTTGCGATTTTTCGACTCTGCTTTTTTGACTTTTCTGTTTCTCAATTTTTTAATTTCCTAATTTTTGGATATTTCGTTCAATTTTGTGATTTTTCAGTTTTTCGACTTCTCAATTTTAACTTTTCAATTTTTAAATTATTAATTTTTTTCTATTTTTTGAGTTTTCAGTTCTTCTATATTTCAATTTTTCAATTTTCGGAATTTTTAAATTTTCGATTGTCCAGTTTTTTTTTTTCGATTTTCCAATTTTCGATGTTTCGGTTTTTGAATTAACCGACTGTTCAATTTCTCGATTTTTAAATTTTAGATTTTCCAATTTTCCCATATTTGAATTTTCCAATGTTTTAAATTTTCGATTATATATTTAAATGGTGGTAAATAATTTGTGATAAAATGCATTTTAGTTTCAAAGATAATATGTATTTAATGATTTGACTACTGTTAATAAAAAAAAATACGTAAGATGTTCATATTGAATTAATTTGGTGTTCATAGTGTGATGATAACCCATAGTTATTCTGGAGGCAAATTAAATGACTTGTTACTTATTAATTAAAGTGGTGGTCGTTTAATTTCGTGCCTTTAAAGTGGACGAAGGGACGCATATTTGTTAACCATGCAGTTTATGGATAATATACCGCGATAATATTAAATTTTTATTACCTTAACCTTTATTTGTTTTTGTACAAATATACGTGCTACCACACACATGAAACAGGTATGCACTACATATACATAGATTACATATATGTAAAGTCTTCAACACGCACGTTTGCTTATTTTGTGACTGCTCCCCGTACAACGTACTGATTAATACGTCCGTTTACTACCTTATCGACATCACGTGCTTACAGACTATTTTTACTTCATAGTGAAGCGAGTGAGATGTAAAATGTATATTCATTCTTTTCTACATGGGAAAGTGATTGTCCGTATAGGTTGTCCAACTATAATATACTTAAACAATGCCCGTACTGAGAATCAATGCAGACCGTCTGAAAACCACTTTTTCGTATTTTGCATACTAATAAAATTTTATGGTCTGTTAGTGGCGTTTAGGGCAACAATGCTCGAACAATGTCCCTGACAAAGATCCTCGTCAGTCTGGCAAATGACGCTTGCCGCCTTAAAATTTACATAAACATCAGGGTTGTATTCAGGAAAATAGTAGTCCTCGCTGAACACAATAATTTCATAACGATGAAAGTCAACTACGCACCAGATACTCGTAATACAATGAAGTTAATATTCTAGCGTTGTAGTTCACGACCCTTACATATATATCAGTTAAATTCGTTACGGCCCTGTTCACGGTTGGCCAACCGCCAAGTCCGCCGAGGGTCTATAATTTGTGGTTTTCCGAATTAGACCCCAAGCTTTGCAACTTTTAGCTTGTAAAATTTTATTACAATACAAAAATAGTGTCCTTAAAACAAATCTTCCGCGTTATCAGTTTTTTGTCGTACGACTGGAAATGTATTCCGTTTTCAATTCGTGCATCCCCATCATGTTTTCCGGACGAGTTCCGGGCTTAGATATTCCGGGTTGTTGTGGCGAGTTATTTTTATTGGGGTTATTTAGACGTTGAGACGACGAAGGATACGAATGTGTGATGACGCAGGAGATGCGCCGGCTGAATCGTGATTTTTTCCTTTCTCTTGGAGTTCGAGACGCCGCCGCCGCCGTTTTAAAATTCCGGCCTGGCCGGAATTTGATGCATACTGACAACGCAAAGGGGAGTGTAATGAAATTTTATTATTTGGAACGATCTTTATTGCTCCGAGAAAAACGGTCTACAAGCAATTTAATTTTCTGTGTTATCGAAATTGAGCTGTTCGGGACGGCGGGATGTCATACGCGCTGTATTTTTTTCGGGAATGGGAGTCGAACGGAATGGCGGAGACGAGATGGTCCGCGGCCGGGGGCGGCGTGTGTGCTCATACGTGCGCAACGTTAGCCTTGATATCTTTTACCAAAAATAATAAAACGTCACATGAATATTTAAATCGCCCTTTCATGTTTTGCGCTTCGGTACTGGCTTTGCTTGGAGAAATAACATGAGAATGAGGTGTGGAACAATCGGAAATTTGTTCAAAACGAAAAAGTTTGTTAGTTTTCTTATTGTTTTTTTGAATTTCAGTTACCGGACGGTGTGCAGTTGACTTTAAGCGAACTGCGCGAGATGGCCTGCAGACAACAGGCCCAGATCGACTCGCAGCACCAGCTGCTAGCGGCGAAGGAACAAAGATTGAGGTACCTGAAGGAGCAGGAGGCGCGCCAGCAGCGCGTCCAGGCCGAGAGCGAGCGCCTGAGGCGACTACGGGACAGGGTAGACGCTCAGGAGCTCAAACTCAGGAAGCTGCGGGCGCTCAGAGGACAAGTGGACCACCAAAAACAAAACAATATATCTCTCAGTGAGTATTGCCGATTTTTCCTCTATGATTGATCCGGAAGAATCGCGTCGCTCGATTTATCAGCATTATTGCCTGCGCCATTAATCATCCTTTCCATCGAAATAAATGGCGAAACAATGGTGATTTGTGACGAGGAATAACGCGGATTTATAGAGTGTAGAGAGTATTTTCGCAAGCGAATCGACAGCGGACTAACAATGGGCTTAAGTTTTATATTTATTCATTTAATTAGGGCGTAATCGGATTTGTGCAGCTGCAAACGGGTTTAAACGGGCGTGTTTGCAAGTCGGAAAAAAGGTGTCATGGAGAGTAATAAAATATTATCGATGTACCTAGCCCGGCGCCCCCGCCAAACGTAATTAATTATTGCGACTCCTCGATCCCTTTCTCTTTCGGTCCAAAGTTCGCGTTCATCGTCGAATTAAATTCAACAAGCGGCTCTCTTCATTTAATTAAATTTTGGGATTTATCTGTAATCTTATAGTACAGTGAATGTTTGATTGTTCGCACGGTATCAATTATTCATCGAAGTTGATCGAGTTAATTTCTTCATTAAAATGGAATTGGAGAGCGAAGTTTTGATGGCGTCGGGAAGCTAAAGAAAACTTTCAATTAGGGAACTGTGGGCGGAAGTCGCCAGAAATTTCAAATTTTGAGGGCTCTCTGTAATGGGGAAGGAAGCGTCCCCTAAAAAATAAAACGAATTCGGAACGATAATTTTCAATAACTTTGTTTACATCCAAATGCATCAATCTTGATTTTTGTGCAAACGTTGTTATTTCGGATACAAATGTGTCCAGCGCAACATAGATCCTCGTGAACGTTGAAATTCTGGATCGAGAGAAATCCCCATTTGAAAAATTACGAGAATTGAACATTATTTCAACAATAACTTGTTATGATATAGCTTGGCCATAAAGAAATGTCATAAAATTGGCATTATGTTACAAAACCCACCTGCTACTTGTCGCACTTGAGCCGTTTCCAGATAAACTACTTGCGGTTTGCCGTTCGCGGTGGACACCTTCGACTCATTCTCCTCCTTCCGCTAGCATGCGAACACTCATTCTTCCGTTTCTTGTACGATAAAGATAATCCACTATTATGAATAACAGAATGCACCGCATGAGAACCACCTTCATTATATAGAATTTTCCTTCTTACATTTGTAGATGGTAATATACCAAACAAAACTTGTATGATTTTCCTCACCAGCAATGGAATGACGTTATTTTCGACTTTTCAATAGTAAGTGTTGTCTAAATTGCATAAAAAATTTCGTATGTCTCAATTTTTCGATTTTTTTATTTCCTAATTTTTCGATATTTCGGTTTTGGATTTTTCAGTTTGTTGATTCTTCAATTTTCAATTGTTCAATGTTCAAATTTTTGATATTTTGGTTTTTTGATTGTTCAATTTTTCGGTTTCTCAATTTTACCGATACGGTTATTGAATTTTTTGGTTCCTTAATTTCTCGATTTGTAAATTCTTCAATTTTTCGTTTTAGGATTTCCATTAATTGATTTTACAATTTTCGTTTTTTCAATTTTTGGATTTTTCAGTTTCTGTATTTGAATTCTCACCTTTTTGATATAAAATTTTTCCGTTTTTGATTTTAAGGTTTTGAATTTATAATTTTTCAATTTTTCGTTTCTCCAGTAGTTTGGTTTTTGACGATTGACGATTGTTCGATTTTAAAATTTTCAGTTTTTCGGATTATTATTAAAGTTTTTGAAATTGTCGGGTCTCTAATTTTTTGATTCCCCAATTTTTCCATTTTTCAAATATTCTATTTTTCGATTTCTCGTCATTTTGATTGTTCTATTCAGATTTTTCGAATTCTCAACTTTTCGATTTGTTGATTTTTAAATTTTCCAATTTCTCAATTTTCGATGTTTCCAATTTCCAATTCTACAAAACATTGTAACAGATTTTAAGAAATAACCCTCTTTCGAATTTACACTTTTTCTTTTTTTCATTTTGATTTTTCAATTTTACAATTTTGCAATTTTTCCATTTTTTTTGTTTTCATAAGTTACTTCCGGCTTCATTTCTTAGATAACTAAAACCGTTTTTCAAGAAATATCCCAATTCTAAAAAAATTCAAAAAATTCTAATTTCATTCCGACTTTTTGATTTTTCGTTATTCCAGTTTTGGGATTTTTCAGTTTGTTGATTCTTCAATTTTCACTTGTTCAATTTTTGAATGTCTAATTTTTCTATATTTCGGTTATTTCATTCTTCAATTTTTCGATTTTTCAAAATTTCAATGTTTTGATTTTTGAATTTTTCGGTTTCTCAACTTTTCGATATTTAAATTTAAGGGTTATTCAATTTTTTGGCCCTTTAATATCTCGATTTTTAAATTTTTCAATTTTTTGTTGTTTCAATTTTTAAATTTTTCAATTATTCCAGTTTTTAAATTGAAAACGATTGTTGAGTTTATCAATTTGTCAATTTTCCAGTTCGTCTCTTTTCGTTTTATGACCTCCATTTGTAGAATTGAAAATGTTTCGTTTTTTCAATTTTCAGATTTTTCAATTTCTGTTTTGGAATTCTACCTTCTTCGATGTAAATCTTTTCCGTTTTTGATTTTAAATTTTTGAATTTATAATTTTTCAATTTTTCCTTTCTTCAGTAGTTTGGTTTTACGATTTTTCGATTTTAAAATTTTCAGTTTTTCGGATTAAGCATTATTAGACTTTTTTAAATTGTCGGGTCTTTAAATTTTTTGATTCCCCAATTTTTGCATTTTTCAAATACTTATTCTATTTTTCGATTTCTCGTCTTTTTGATTGTTCTATTCAGATTTTTCGAATTCTCAACTTTTCGATTTGTTGATTTTTAAATTTCCCAATTTCTCAATTTTCGATGTTTCCAATTTCCAATTCTACAAAACATTGTAACAGATTTTAAGAAATAACCCTCTTTCGAATTTACACTTTTTCTTTTTTTCATTTTGATTTTTCAATTTAACAATTTTGCAATTTTTCCATTTTTTTTTGTTTCCATAAGTTACTTCCGGCTTCATTTATTAGATAACTAAAACCGTTTTTCAAAAAATATCCCAATTCTAAAAAAATTCAAAAAATTCTAATTTCATTCCGACTTTTTGATTTTTCGTTATTCCAGTTTTGGGATTTTTCAGTTTGTTGATTCTTCAATTTTCACTTGTTCAATTTTTGAATGTCTAATTTTTCTATATTTCGGTTATTTCATTCTTCAATTTTTCGATTTTTCAAAATTTCAATGTTTTGATTTTTGAATTTTTCGGTTTCTCAACTTTTCGATATTTAAATTTAAGGGTTATTCAATTTTTTGGCCCTTTAATATCTCGATTTTTAAATTTTTCAATTTTTTGTTGTTTCAATTTTTAAATTTTTCAATTATTCCAGTTTTTAAATTGAAAACGATTTTTGAGTTTATCAATTTGTCAATTTTCCAGTTCGTCTCTTTTCGTTTTATGACCTCCATTTGTAGAATTGAAAATGTTTCGTTTTTTCAATTTTCAGATTTTTCAATTTCTGTTTTGGAATTCTACCTTCTTCGATATAAATTTTTTCCGTTTTTGATTTTAAATTTTTCAATTTATAATTTTTCAATTTTTCCTTTCTTCAGTAGTTTGGTTTTACGATTTTTCGATTTTAAAATTTTCAGGTTTTCCGATTAAGCATTATTAGACTTTTTTAAATTGTCGGGTCTTTAAATTTTTTGATTCCCCAATTTTTGCATTTTTCAAATACTTATTCTGTTTTTCGATTTCTCGTCTTTTTGATTGTTCTATTCAGATTTTTCGAATTCTCAACTTTTCGATTTGTTGATTTTTAAATTTCCCAATTTCTCAATTTTCGATGTTTCCAATTTCCAATTCTACAAAACATTGTAACAGATTTTAAGAAATAACCCTCTTTCGAATTTATACTTTTTCTTTTTTTCATTTTGATTTTTCAATTTTACAATTTTGCAATTTTTCCATTTTTTTTGTTTCCATAAGTTACTTCCGGCTTCATTTCTTAGATAACTAAAACCGTTGTTCAAGAATCCCCCACTGAAATATCCCAATTCTAAAAAAATTCAAAAAATTCTAATTTCATTCCGACTTCTTGATTTTTCGTTATTCCAGTTTTGGGATTTTTCAGTTTGTTGATTCTTCAATTTTCACTTGTTCAATTTTTGAATGTCTAATTTTTCTATATTTCGGTTTTTTGATTGTTCAATTTTTCGATTTTTCAAAATTTCAATGTTTTGATTTTTGAATTTTTCGGTTTCTCAACTTTTCGATATTTAAATTTAAGGGTTATTCAATTTTTTGGCTCTTTAATATCTCGATTTTTAAATTTTTGAATTTTTGGCGTGTCTAAATTTTTTGAGTATTTGATTTTGCGAATTCTCAATTTTTTGTTGTTTCAATTTTTAAATTTTTCAATTATTCCAGTTTTTAAATTGAAAACGATTTTTGAGTTTATCAATTTGTCAATTTTCCAGTTCGCCTCTTTTCGTTTTATGACTTCCATTTGTAGAATTGAAAATGTTTCGTTTTTTCAATTTTCAGATTTTTCAATTTCTGTTTTGGAATTCTACCTTCTTCGATATACATTTTTTCCGTTTTTGATTTTAAATTTTTGAATTTATAATTTTTCAATTTTTCCTTTCTTCAGTAGTTTGGTTTTACGATTTTTCGATTTTAAAATTTTCAGTTTTTCGGATTACGCATTATCAGACTTTTTTAAATTGTCGGGTCTTTAAATTTTTTGCTTCCCCAATTTTTGCATTTTTCAAATACTTATTCTATTTTTCGATTTCTCGTCTTTTTTATTGTTCTATTCAGATTTTTCGAATTCTGGATTTATTGATTTTTTACTTTTTAAGTCTTCAGTTTTTAGAATTCTCAACTTTTCGATTTGTTGATTTTTAAATTTCCCAATTTCTCCATTTCTCAATTTTCGATGTTTTCAATTCCCAATTCTACAAAACATTGTAACAGATTTTAAAAAATAACCCTCTTTCGAATTTATACTTTTTCTTGTTTTCATTTTTGATTTTTCAATTTTACAATTTTGCACTTTTTCCATTTTTTTTTTGTTTCCATAAGTTACTTCCGGCCTCATTTCTTTGATAACTAAAACCGTTTTTCAAGAATCGCCCATTGAAATATCCTAATTCTAAAAAATTTCAAAAAATTCTAATTTCATTTCGATTTTTTGATTTTTCGATATTTCAGTTTTGTTGATTCTTCAATTTTCAGTTCAATTTTTGAATGTTTAATTTCCATGTCTTGATTTTTTAATTTTTTGGTTTCTCAACTTTTCGGTATTTGAATTTAACAGTTACTCAATTTTTTGGTTCTTTAATTCCTCGATTTTTAAAGTTTTCAATTTTTAGCGTGTCTAAATTTTTTGAGCACAATTTTTCAATTACCTATTCCATTTTTTAAATTGAAAACGATTTTTGAGTTTATTAATTTGTCAGTTTTTCCGTTCGTTACTTTTCGTTTTATGATGTCCATTTGTCGAATTTAAAATGTTTCGTTTTTTCAATTTGCAGATTTTTCAATTTCTGTTTTGGAATTATCACTTTTTCGATATAAAATTTTTCGTGTTTAAAATTTTCAGTTTTTTCAATTATTAAACATTTTGAAATTGTCGAGTCTTTAATTTTTTGATTCCCCAATTTTTCGATTGTTCTATTCTGTTTTTCGAATTCTCAACTTCTCGATTTGCCGATTTCTCAAGCTCCCAATTTCCTCGAAATCCTTGAGGTTATTATCGCTTTAGTCGCACTTGTAGGGCTGGGTTCTCTGGGTCTTGAAGACGATCCTATTGGTGCCGTGGAAGTTCCAGTTAGTCCAAAACAAATATCCTTTGCTCCGATGGATCAAAGGGATCATCGAGGTCGATTTTTGCAACTTCGATTACTTTGTTCCCGGTGTTGGTCCAGACGTTCCAATCCACTGCTATGCCATCTGACCAAATCAGCGTGCTGTTGACTTACGGATCGCTGGACCTGTTCATGATGGCAACTATTTCTTTTGCCATCCGGAGTGTGTAGCTCATGCATGATTATGATCTTCGACTTTTTCCCATCCGGTACTCTTGTGGATAACATCTTCAGCTTAATCCGTTCAGTAATCTCGTCGGTTTTTCGGTCGACGTCCACCGAAGTCATCAACATCAACGGCAAGATCACACCAGAGATGTAAGGAACATCGAGAAGTATGCCGGATACCGTTTCTGTGTGCTAGTATCAAATAATTGATCGGTCCGTCAGTGTGCTTATTTTTCGGCAAACATGGTACCTAGGTTAGCGGAAGGTACTACTACTAAGATATGACTTGAAATCATCTTTACATATCAAATAAGAACAAGGTTGTCATCTAGAAAAAAGTTTAATAATACAATCACTTGCGATGTTTTCCACATGGCCGCTGCAATCCATCCCTGACCACCGCCATAAAAACGCGCGTCCCATAACCCATAAATAACAAAAGGCGCATCCAACCTCGCTCAAAATTCCAGCAGAGAGAATACAAATTAAACACAGCCCGTCGACTCGGAAAGTAACTAGACGACAAGAAAATAAATTGCGACTCGTCTGAGACGGATTATTGAAGCGACTGCTGTGTCAAGAAGATAGTACATAGTAAGAAAATGAAAAACTACCGAAACATCACGGCGCAGGATGGGGGTGTTTATTTGGAGGCGGTAATCCGAGAAACGCGCGTGCAAGATGGACGGCACGAAAAAAGATGCAATCTCGATCTCAATTTGGTACGCAACCTTTCGGAATTAATCATGAAAAGGGTCAGGTTTACTTCACGACAATATCCCAGCTCAAGTCGCCCACGCGGCAAAAGCGTAATTACACTCCTGCACCGGGGATTGTTAGTCATCCTTTCCCAGATCTGGTCTTGAGGGAGCGTGATCCTTCGGAGACTGCAAAAATTGGGAAATCGCGAAACAAGCAGTGGTCAAATTGGACCGGGTTAGTCAGTCCCGAGATTTGCATTGTTTTAACAACTACACTTGGTGTGTGGTATCTCCGATTTCTTTTCTTGCATAAACTGAAAACAATACCCGGTTCTATGAAGCGGTCGTTTTGAAACCCCCGAACGTTCCCACCGTTCCGCCTCTCAAAATCCACTTTTCAATACATTATGCTAATACAAATACAACTATTGCAACAAATATCTCCGGATCCGGCCTTTTTCCATGAAATCGAATTTATTCCGCACCTCTTCTCTCCACCATATTGTTCTTCGCATTAACAATGTATTCCAGAGGCTGGTTCTCTCTCCCACACCTCCACCGTCTTCCAACTTCAGTTCACGTCGGTTATGGACCGTGACTGCAAGTTATTTAATAGTTGAAGACCACACAATCCGTCCGTTTCCGATACCACAAGAGATAAATCCAGACATGACTCCCAAACTCCTCCGTAAATTACGACACGATAAGGAAGAGCAGGGTTCTCCCGCTCTCCTCGTGCGGTGAAGGCCTCGGGAGGTTCTAACTTTTTCTTTAATTGCAGCAAGTGACCTTGACTCGATTCGTGCCCTCTTCAACGAAAAGGAGAAGGAGCTGTCCTTGGCCGTGGCGAAGGTTGAGGAGTTGACCAGGCAGCTGGAGGAGTTGCGACGGGGGCGGACGGCGAGGGACCAGCCTCCCGCCTCTGCCCTTGAGCTGGACAAGTTGCGCCGGGAGCTTATGGTGAGCGATTCACTTAAAAATTAAAAAAAAGTACGAAACGTGATTCATGCAAGTACTTATTTTTCGTCTGGCACGGTTTAAATAGAACAGGATTTGTTGATTCTCGGCAAGCCAATTTCATCGGTCGCCGCATCACAAACAATGATAAATGAACATGTCCCACTGCATTAATTAACGACTGGCAAATTTGAAGCTAATGAACTCTGGTTTCGTTACATTAATACCGTTTTTGCTTTCCCGTTTCTGTTTTTTGTAAAATAATTAAATAACCATCATAGCCCTTCATATCGTGCGCAAATTCTCGTATTTCTCTCTGGCGAGTAAACTCGGGACCGGATGACTGTTCGTCCATGAAGTGCCTCGAATGGTCTTAGGTGGCCCCATCTGCGCGGAAGTTCGCAATGACTTCCCGAAGCGATTACGTCGCCGTTTCGAACACCTTAAAAAGGCGCGTTATTATATTTTTCCATTATTTTAATTACGATTTTTTCGGCGATTAAGTGCCTTGACGGGGGATAAGTGACTTATCCGGGCGAGTATTGGAGCATCGACGTTTTATTCGGATCTAAAAGGTTTTACAAGCGGAAGCTCTTTTAGACCTAATTTTTTTCGTTGTCGTTTCGTCTTGTCCCGACGTCGGCTATTTCCATCGATTTTGCCTTCGTTCAGTTTGTTCAATCAGCATTTGGCACGCTTTCATTACGACGTCCTTTGACATGGCATACCTACGCGGCGTCCCAATTTTTCGGCAATCCGCACTTCTCATTATTTTCCGGCCGCAAGACAATACCCCACACGTCCGTTTTGATGTCCAGACATTATTATTCATAACAGTCATAAACAGAGTCGGAGGGAGCGGCCGGCGGGCACGTCCCAGGGGCGCAGCTCCGTGAATTTATTATGGCTTTTTTCCCCTTTTCTCGTGTCGCTAAATCGTCGGCTAATTCGTCACATTTTCCAGTACCGTAACAAATTGAACGAGCAGCAGAATCAAAGACTAAACCAACAACGAGAGGCACTCACAGCTAGACAGGAGGAGATGAGCGCCATCGACAAGCGGATTTCCGAATTACAAGAACGGCTGCACAAGAAGCGCCTACTCAACCAGCAGCTGGCCAACCAGATCAGCGCGGCGTCGCACAAAGCGGCGTACCACCAGCTTGTTCGGTAAAAAAGCGACCAGACTAAGCGAGCACCCTCAACGCGTTTTTTACAGATTGACGGGAAATGGCGAGCCTACGCGTAAACCCCAGAACGCTCAACCGCCCAATGGGTTATCCCGGGGGAACATCGCCGCCGTGGAGCCCTACAACCACGTACCGCTGCGCACCGGGCAGAAGAACAACCTGCAAGAAACACCCACATATCACCCAGTATATCAGCAGAACCACCATATCAAAAAGGACGACGTGCAAGCGACCAACCAAGAGGGGCAAGATCTGGCCAACAAGATGGCTAATTTGTATACGAGACCGGAGGAGAACGACGCTTTGAAGGAGTTCACCGTGTCGAAATCAGATCCCAAATATCAAACTTTGCCATACAATACGAAGTTTACTGTTAATTTATTACCGAATAGGATAGTGAGGAGCGACGGCGTCGACGACAAAGACGATCACATATCAAACGTCAATATGCAATCGACGCACATGACGGTACACAGCGCCCCTTTGAGCATAGTTAACAAGAACATCGCTACGCCGCTGAACCAAAACGACTTGATTAGCAAGAGGCAGAGCGGGAACGACGGGAGCAACGGGACGGTTTCCAACGGAGTCACATATCAGGTTAGGGGACCAGCACAACTATTTTATCATACTAAACCCGATTTTCTTCCAGAAACCCATCAGCAGCGTAGCGCCGACGTCAGTCCACCATTCTGGGATCCTATCCAACATCTACCAGACCTCGTCCATCAAAGTCCAGCCCGTGGAGCCGCAGACCATCAGCGGCACCGGCAAGCAAGTCCAGTCGCCTCTAGTGCTCTCTCCACCCCAGTCCACCAGCACTCCGCTCAACAGCACCCCCGAAGTCTCTCTAGACAAAAATCCAAAGCCAGCCTTGCCTCCGAAACCGGCGATAAAGCCGCCTCCGCGCCAGACCCAAACCGTCGGCGAGAGCGATCCGCAACCGCCCCCCTTGCCGCAGACCGAGCCGCCGCCGGACGATCCCAAGAAAGGTACACAAGCTAACAAAACCCACTCACAAAATAACCAGACTAATGAGATGGTGATCAAAGCGAAGCCGCTAACCATTAAAAAGCAGCAGCTAAGCGAGCAACCTAAACTGAGGAATAACACTAAGCAAAACGGCTTGGCGAACGCGAAGAGAGTGGAACAAACGCAGTTTCATTTTCCAGAGACGAGCGAAAAGAGCGAAGAGAACGAAACGAAGAGTGTAGACGAAACGGATAAAGTGGAAGTAATAGAAAGAAAAGACGAGAGTGAGGAAAACGGGGTGGTGAGGCGATGCAAGAAAGGCAACTTGAAATCGGGAAAATCGAACCTGGCGCGGAGGGTCAGTTTCGATCCTTTGGCTCTTCTGTTGGACGCGAGTCTGGAAGGGGAGCTGGAGCTCGTGAAGAAAACCGCGACGCAAGTGACGAACCCCAGCGCCGCCAACGACGAAGGCATCACGGCGTTGCACAACGCCATCTGTGCGGGGCATCTAGAGATCGTGAAATACTTAGTCGCGTTTGGGTGCGACGTGAACGCGCAAGACAGCGACGGCTGGACGCCTCTGCATTGTGCCGCCAGTTGCAACAACGTCGCAATGGTGAAGTTCTTAGTAGAGCACGGAGCCTGCATTTTTGCTACTACTTTGAGCGACCACGAGACGGCGGCCGAGAAGTGCGAGGAGGACGAGGAGGGATTCGACGGCTGCTCCGAGTATTTGTACAGTAAGTGTCCGCGAGGTGCGTTGGGTTTGTTTAAGGGTGATTTTCGCTTCCAGGCGTTCAAGAAAAACTGGGTATCTTGTCCGGAGGGGTGGTTTACGCAGTTTTCGACTACACGGCTCAACAACCCGACGAACTGAGTTTCAAAGCGGGCCAGCAGTTGACTGTTTTGCGGAAAGGGGATGAAAACGAGCGAGAGTGGTGGTGGTCGAAATTAGGAGATAAGGAGGGATATGTTCCTAGAAATCTTCTTGGGGTGAGTTTCGTCAAGTTTGCTTGTTTGCGATATTGACGTTTGGTTTGTTTCAGCTCTACCCAAGGGTGACTCGAAGTGAAGAATAGTATTATACATTTTTGTATAATGAATATTTAAGTACCTTTGCCTTTTGCTAAACTATGTATATTATTTTATAAATAAAAAAGGGGGATTTATGAGAGTGGAAAGATTCATACCTTTGCTCAATATAATCTGTATATTGTGACAGTTTTAAGGTTTTTCCGTTTGTTAAGTTTGTTGTAACAGTTTTATTTTGAGTAGGTATTGTTTTTATTGCTTTTGAAGTAATAAGCATTTTAATATATTTTTGACATGTGTAAATATATAAATATGAAAAATGATTATTTACAATAAAATATATTGAGTACACAGGCTACTTTTATTTCGGACCCAGACACAAAACAAAAGCAAACTTTCAAATCATATAAAAACGAAAGAGTGGGGAGTAGGACCAGCATTCACGCCAAACACTCTATTCCTTTTTTTAAAAAATTCCAACCTTTCTAAAAGTCATAAGATGATTTTTATTTATTTATTGATAGGATCGGATCTGAAAACCCGCGACAAACTAATTCACGTATTAAAAAATGTCCGTTGGATTGAAAAATTCTCGATTAGTGGAAATCGGAAACTTAGACAACCAACCATACAACTTGACGGTTTTGCGCAACAATTAAATTAAAAAAAATATGAGAATAAACAACGTTATAAGTGTTATTATCGCGCTGTAAAAATGTATCAACAAACAAGCAATTAAGTAGGACGTTGATGTTGATTTACACACATTCCGCATTGGGACTTCGGAGACAATAATTACGTAGGTCTAATCTGGAATATTTCATTGCAAATCTGCAGCCCACATTACACGTGGGATTTATGGTTAACCGCATCAGGCGAATTTTCCATGTATATTTACAGATCGACAGTACAAACAATTATGCACTAAACCATGAGGGGAAATTTACAGCGTTTGTCACATTTTAGGGTTAATTAAACATTCATTAAATTCCCAGTTGTTTAAATAAACGTATGTAATAACTACAAAATTTCCCGGAAAATTATTTTTAATTTCGAAATGTATATTATTTCCACACTGATTGCCAAAAAAACGTCAAATAATCAAGCCAAACAGACATAGTTTAACTGAATTTTATTTCGTGTCGCTCAAACCGACCAAATTTAAAATTTTGTTTTCACGGTTCACTTAGCAACCAATTACTAGATAAAAAAAGGGATTGTTTTGACCGACAATTGTAACTTTTAGAACACAATAACGCGATTTTTACACTCGTGACATAATAGTGTTCGCTCAAATAATAAACAAACTGGTGTATTATGCGCATTTTTCACGAAAATTATTACGTATTATACAAGCGTAATTATCAACATCCATAATTTTAGTAGAAATGCATTAATATTTCACGTAGTTGCATAACGCATTGCAGTGGTGTCGGAGTGAATATTGGACACAACTGAAATTACAATCAATACAACAAATTATAGAGGTTTAAATTAATATTTGGTTCCTTCTGCACCATCTTGTGGATTTTCCTAAACTAAACGATGTATCAAGTGTTTAAAAATAATTATCAGGAAAATCACTCAAGCCAGTCTTCACACAGTAATTTAAAATAAATAAACGAGAATGGGGGCACGATAAGCCGCCCACGCCGCTGCATCCTCTACCTGTAATCACCAGTCAGACAGCAAGCGATTAATTGGATGCATTATGACCACTTCTTAGGGAAACATAACATTTAACAATCCATAGGCCAGCTCCCGACTTATACAAGCCTTCTGAAATGGAAACAACCATTTATAACTTTCTCACCAACGAAGAACATTACCGAAATAACAATCGAAACGCGCACGCAAAAAAACCAAAATCGCTCACTCCAACCAAAACCCAAAATGAAGAAAAGTGCCTTCGTCGTCCTGCTCCACATCGCGGCGTGTGCCGCCGCCAACAACTACATGGGCGACTTCTTGGAATTTTTACTGGGTCCGCGGCTGGGCAATAGGACTCGCGCTCACCCAAAATCGGACCATCAAACCACAGTGAGTGATACTTAGTTTTTTTTTTCAATCGAAAACACTGGACCGAATTCTTGCGTTTATGGTACCGGTTTCGTTTCGTTCTCAGCATTCCGGGATGAAAGAGCGATGACTAATTGACCACCCTACTTACCTCTATCTTTACTATTATTAACGGTCATCGGAGAAAATTGATGGAATTTGAAGAAAGTTTATTGTCATCTGGATGTTAAAGCGAAACTCAATTTCGTTACCGTTAACCATAACAGTGACCTTGGCTTTAATACACGAGCTGGCAAACAATGGGCGACGGTGGGTTTTGATGTGTTCCCTTGAGGTGATGAGATCGTGACACGCGAGAACTGTGTCCGGGTTGGAGGCGGGCGTAGGATAATTCGTATACCGGGTGAGCCAGATTTTACTACATCGTGACTTAGGTTATTTTAAATCGAAAGTAGAGTAATAACGACGCTGTCGTCACAATTTACGCGCCACTGTTCAAATTCAGCCAATCAAAGTCGAGGATTTTAGACGCGGGAAAACGCTAAATTCAATCTGTTTAATTATCATTTTTTTCGCATTTCACAAGCTATGGAATGCCAAAAAATTCAATTAGGTTTTTAAAGCGACGTTATTACAAAACGTCCTCTGGCAATCGCGCCAAGCACAATATTAATTTTTTACAAAGAACGGCTTAATGACTTTAGGAAATTATATAGTTGTAGAAAAGTTTTAAAACGGTAGATAATCAGCATTTTTCTAAAAAATTAATTATATAAAATATAAATCGCGCTATTTTGCAACGAGGTTTCCTGCTACTAATTGAAATTTAGGCTATTCTCATTGCGTAATGATTGAGTTAAAACAAGAAACATTGAAATATCGTTTAAAATTAGGCCTGCCGTAATTATGATGATATTAAAATTACACAAGTAATGGCGCAACCGCTTTCCGTTTACCAGTTATCTTCTTGTGGAGTCGCCACGACCAATTACACAAATCAATACTAGAGTAAAACTCTAATCGAAAAATAATTCTCTGCAATTTCCTTACGCGTGACACAAATATTTTTTAAATCCCGCTGTTGCGTAATGTCAAAAAGCTGTGTGAATTCAGCGTGCCACTTAACCACATTTATTAACACACTGACATACTATTGTCACTTTCTTCGCGCATTCTAGGAGCAAATAGTGAGAAGTTTCGGCTACCGTTTGGACACGCATTTGGTCACTTCTGGTACCGGTCACATCCTGACCTTGCACAGAATCCCGATGGGTCGGGAACCCAGAGCCGAAGTCGAACCCAGACCTGTCGCTTTCATCCATCATGGGCTGCTGGGAAGCTCGGACATGTGGCTACTGCGAGGACCTCCGCAAGACTTACGTATGCTTTGTGCGAAAGTAACGATCCCGGTTTAGAGTTTGGATTTTAGCGTACCTGCTGGCCGATTCCGGGTACGACGTGTGGCTGTTCAACGTCCGGGGAAACACGCATTCCCGGAAACACGCAACTCTGAACGCCGACGAAGACCCTTCATATTGGGATTTTGGGTATTTTTGACTTTTTTGTAAAGTTTGAATCAAATTCGGCAAGTAAGCAAATGCAGTTTCGAAAGTAAAGTTGCGCTTTGACTCGCATTTTCGCTTATACAACTATTAACTCTTTGACATTTACAGACCTAATCCACGAAGTGGAATTTAACTCTAGCGACCACTGAAGTCAGCTTCATCTGAACCGCTAACCTTGATTGTTTTTTTCTTGTAGAATTGAAGAAATCGGTTACCACGACCTGCCAGCAACCATCGACTACATCCTCAACAAAACCAGACAAAAAGACCTATTTTTCTTAGGTCACTCTATAGGTAGTTCTTCTGGATTAATACTGTGCTCGTTGCGACCCGAATATAGAAAAAGGATTCGATTATTCCTTGCTTTGGGGCCTCTAGCCAACATTAAACACCCTCTGATGCGCGTCCACACCGTCACATTTTCCCTAGGCTTGATTTTACTAGTACGTACAATATCGTTGTCATAATCACGCTCCATAAGCATCTCACTCATTCCACCTAATAATCACAATTTCTTTATCAAGAGGTTCGCCGAATCGCAAAACATCCACGAAATCATGCCCAGGAGACCCTACTTCTCCCAAATCCTCCAATCCGTTTGCGAGGACGACTCGCCGCTGCAAGCTCTCTGTTTATCAATGATGTTCTCGATAGTAGGAAAGGACTTAAGCGAGTTTAACACAGTAAGAGGAACGGTTTCTAATGCCTTAATTAACTCGAGTCGTTTACAGAAGACTTTCCCTCGGTTCGTCGAGTATTATCCTTCCGGTACTTCCCTCAATATTCTTGCGGATGTGTTTCAGTATTATTTGAGCGGTAAGTAGGGGCAGGTTGTGAAACTTAAAACTGGTTTGTTTTTTAGGGGAGTTCACGAGGCGCGATTTTGGTGCGCGTTTGAACGTGGAACGATATAATGACACTAAGCCGCCGACTTATGATTTGTCGAAAGTAACGGTTCCTGTGTCGCTGCATTACGGACCCGGGGATTTACTCGTTAGTAGGGAAGATATTGACGATTTGTGTTTGAAGTTGCCATTGTGTGTGGGGAAGTTCGAGGTTGCTCATAAACAGTTTAATCATTTGGATTTTGTGTTGGCTATCAATGGGAGGAGTTTGTTGTATGATAGTTTGGTGCAGGTGATGGAGAAGTATAGGTAATAAATTATAAAAAAAAAAAAAAATTGTATGTAATAAAAGACTTACCCTTGTTCCTTTAACATTATCGCTGTGGTCTCAGACGTTTCAAGTCTCTGAAAAATAAATTTAAAAAAATTCTAGCTAACATATAAAATGATCAATTTTTAATTAATCTCCAATAAGTTTGTGTTACTAAGCAACTATATTCCAGAGGGGAGCGTTTCGTTGAACCGGAATTCTGGTTTTATTATATATTTTTTTTAGTTACGTCGTGTTTATGTGGTGAAAGTACTTGTCTTAAAATTTATTCTAACTTAGTTCAAACAAGTTAGCACAGTTGGTATACTGGGTTTATAATTCTAGAACTTTTATATAGTTGAGGCAGTACCCGAAATATCGCTCTACTAATGGGCTTTATTACGAAATCTTGTTTTTGCTGTATTTCGAGAATTTGATACTCTGATATTTCTTTCTTGTATAACGAGGAAATGTTAGACCTGAAATTGTAGAAAGTGGAACTTTTGATACATCATCACAGTTACAAATATTAAATTTATGGGTTTTACTCATCCACATTAACGATTTTCCGGTTCTACCGGGTGTCTGGAAAATGGTCTCCTGGTGTTTTATTTTCGGATATTTTTATGAATTTGAAAAAGAGTACGGTAGTGTTTTTTTTTTAATTCGGGAGATTCCTTGGTACCCATGGTGTATTATTTTTAGGAACCCATGGAGATTTTTTGTAAATTATTTAAAACAATTTTGAGGGACTTTGGTGTTATATTTTTGGACAATCCTGACCTGACCTGTTTCTAAGTTAATTTTGGGACCCCGTTTTTTTTTTGAAAAATTTAAAACAGTCTTGAGGTTCTAAGTATTCCTGTTTGGCAAGAATTTGAAAGTGTTTTGGGGCTTCTAGTGTCTTTTCTTATAATAATTTAATTCAATTTCTTAGAGGATACGTCATTTGCTTTAAATCAGTTTTTATCTTACCAAGTACTAGCCCCGCCCACCCACCCTCTCTTTTCTTAGAGAGTATGTCATCTGCCAAAATCACTTTCATCTTAAAAGCTACTAGCCCCACCCACCCGCCCTCTCTTTTCGTCGAGGCTTTTTCATTTGCCAAAATCAGTCCAATCTTAGCAGGTACTAACCCCGCCCACCCGCCCTTTATTTTCTTGGAGGATATATCATTTGAAAAAATCAGTCTTATCTTAGTAAGTACTAGCCCCGCCCACCCACCCGCTCTTTTCTTCGAGGGTATGTTATCAACCAAATTAAGTCTTATCTTAGCAAGTACTAGCCCTCTCCACCCGCCGTCTATTTTCTTGTAGGTAATATCGTTTGAAAAAGTCAGTCTTATCTTAGTAAATGCTAGCTCCGCCCACTCGCCCTCAAGACAATAAAGGACAGGTGAGCAGGGTTAACACTTGCTAAGATAGAACTGATTTTGGCAAATGAAACACCCTATACAGAGGGCGGATGGGCGGGGCTAGTACTAAGATTCCACTGACTTTTTCAAATGAAATATCCTCCAGAAAAATAAAGGGCGGATGGGTGGGGTTGGTACCTGCTCAGATAAGATAAGACTGATTTTGGCAGATGACATACCCTCTAAGAAAAGAGAGGGTGGGTGGGCGGGGCTAGTATTTACTAAGATGAGACTGACTTTTTCAAATCATATATCCTCTAAGAAAACAGAGGGCAGTTGGGCGGGGCTAGTTTTGCTAAGATAAGATTCATTTTGGCAAATGATACATTCTAAAAAAATTGAAAGGTGTATCATTTGAAAAAATCAGTCTTATCTTAGTAATTACTAGCTCCGCCCACTCGCCTTCAGGACAATAAAGGACAGGTGAGCAGGGTTAACATTTGCTAAGATAGAACTGATTTTGGCAAATGAAATACCTTCTGACAAAAGAGAGGGTGTGTGGGCGGGGCTAATACCTGCTAAGATAAGACTGATTTTGGCAGATGAGACATACTCTAAGATAGGGTAGGGTGGGTGGGCGGGGCTAGTACCTGCTAAGATAAGGCTGATTTTGGCCAATGAAATGACTTAGTACTTACAAAGATGAGACTGACTTTTTCAAGTGAAATAGCTTCCAAGAAAATAAAGGGCGGATGGGTGGGGTTAGTATCTGCTAAGATAAGACTGATTTTGGCAAATGAAATACCCTCAAAGAAAAGTGAGGGTGGGTGGGTGGGGCTAATAGTTGCTAAGATAAGACTGATTTTGGCAGATGACATACCCTCAAAGAAAAGAAAGGGCGGGTGGGTGGGGCTAGTAGCTGCTAAGATAAGACTGATTTTGGCAGATGACATATCCCCTAAGAAAAGAGAGGGTGGGTGGGCGGGGCTAGTATTTACTACGATGAGACTGACTTTTTCAAATGATATATTCTCTAAGAAAACAGAGGGCAGGTAGGCGGGACTAGTTTTGCTAAGATAAGATTCATTTTGGAAAATGATACATTCTAAAAAAATTGAAAGGTGTATCATTTGCCAAAATCAGTCTTACCTTAGTAAATACTAGCCCCGCCCACCCACCCTCTCCTTTCTTAGAGGGTATGTCATCTGCCAAAATAAGTCCTATCTTAGCAGCTACTAGCCCCACCCACCCGCCCTCTCTTTTCTTCGGGGGTATGTCATCTGCCAAAATCTGTCTTATCTTAGCAGGTACTAGCCCCGCCCACCCGCCCTCACTTTTCTTAGAGAGTATTTCATCTGCCAAAATTAGTCTTATCTTAGCAGGTATTATTTTTTTGGGACCCCGTATATAACGTACTTAATCCACCATTTTCCAAACATCCGGTATATTAGGCGCTCCATTTAAATGTCAACGTTTTGTGTAAGATTTCCGTGGGTGACTTTGTTTTAGCTTTCATATTTTTTATTACGTTTATCTTTTATTTTCGAAAAAACACAAAATAGCTCCTTCGTTTTACTAAAGCCCACCGTTCATGGCCACATTTTAAATTTTTGGGTTAATTTATAGTTTTCGTGTGTTAATTTTGAGGATTTGGGGATTTTGGTGTTTTGAGGATTTGAGGATTTTTGTGTTTTGTGGATTAGGGATTTTAGTGTTTTAAGGATTTGGAGATTTTGGTTGTTTGAAGATTTGAGAATGATAGTATTTTGAGGATTTGAGGATTTTGGTGTTATGAGGATTTGAACATTTTGGTGTTTTGAGGATTTTAGTGTTTTGGGGATTTGGTATTAGTGTTTTGAGGATGTGAGGATTTTGAGGAATTGAAGATTTGAGGATTTTGGTGTTTTGAAGATTTGAGAATGATAGTATTTTGAGGATTTGAGGATTTTTATGCTTTGACGGTTTTGGTGTTCTCAGGATTTGAGGATTTTGGTGTTATGAAGATTTAAAGATTTTGCTGTATCGAGGAGTTGAGCATTTTGTTGTTTTGAGGATTTGAGGGTTTTGATGTTTTGAGGATTTGAAGATTTTGGTGTTTTGAGGAGTTGAGTATTTTGGTGTTTTAAGTTTTTAAGGATTTTAGTGTTTTGAGGATTTGGAATTTTAGTGTTTTGAAGATGTGAGGGTTTTGAGAATTTAAAGATTTGAGGATTTTGGTGTTTTGAAGATTTGAGAATGATAGTATTTTGAGGATTTGAGGATTTTGGTGTTATGAGGATTTGAGCATTTTGGTGTTTTGAGGATTTTAGTGTTTTGGGGATTTGGTATTAGTGTTTTGTGGATGTGAGGATTTTGAGAATTTGAAGATTTGAGGATTTTGGTGTTTTGAAGATTTGAGAATGATAGTATTTTGAGGATTTGAGGATTTTGATGCTTTGACGGTTTTGGTGTTCTCACGATTTGAAGATTTTGGTGTATCGAGGAGTTGAGCATTTTGTTGTTTTAAGATTTTAAGGATTTTAGTGTTTTGAGGATTTGGAATTTTAGTGTTTTGAAGATGTGAGGATTTTGAGAATTTGAAGATTTGAGGATTTTGGTGTTTTGAGGATTTGAGGATTTTGGTGTTATGAAGATTTAAAGATTTTGGTGTATCGAGGAGTTGAGCATTTTGTTGTTTTAAGATTTTAAGGATTTTAGTGTTTTGAGGATTTGGAATTTTAGTGTTTTGAAGATGTGAGGATTTTGAGAATTTGAAGATTTGAGGATTTTGAAGATTTGAGAATGATAGTATTTTGAGGATTTGAGCATTTTGGTGTTTTGAGGATTTTAGTGTTTTGGGGATTTGGAATTAGTGTTTTGAGGATGTGAAGATTTTGAGACTTTGAAGATTTGAGGATTTTGGTGTTTGGAAGATTTGAGAATGATAGTATTTTGAGGATTTGAGGATTTTGATGCTTTGACGGTTTTGGTGTTCTCAGGATTTGAGGATTTTGGTGTTATGAAGATTTGAAGATTTTGGTGTATCGAGGAGTTGAGCATTTTGTTGTTTTGAGGATTTGAAGATTTTGGTATTTTGAGGAGTTGAGCATTTTGTTGTTTTGAGGATTTGAGGATTTTGGTGTCTTGAGGATCTGGGGATTTTAATGTTTTGTTGTGTATGTTTTCAACGTTGATGATCAAATACGAACCGGTTTTGAATTGAACACACTGTATATAACAATGGAGTGAAAGACTTCGTTTGTTTTCATCAAAACTAAATATCTAATTGTTAAATAGTGAAGTAATCTCTAATTAGAAAGTGAAGCCGCCTTATTTTCCAACTAAAAGAACATGCACGTAAAAATAGGTGGTGCGATTACGAACTCGTATAATTTTGAAGCAAACAATAAATTATTTATCAAAGACTAAATTTAAGTTATTTTCTCACCTTGTAGTGTTCTTATAACGATAAAATTTCACAATAAAGACACAAATAACAGCAGTTGCGATAATTTTGCACTGTTTGAAAAACCTGTTAAATCAAGTTAGTTTCTGTCAACAGTGTCAACACTGCCAACCTCACCAATAAAAAATAGCAGCGGTGAACGATTGTTTGACACTTTTTTAAACCGCATGGAAATAATAAGTGGCGTAAATACCACTTTATTACTATTGAAAACTTGCTTATTGTTATTATTCAATTCAAGTTGTTTAATAATTTATTTTTGGTATTAAAACGAATGCGAAAATGTTTGTTTATGCCACCTGTCAATTTTTTTTAAAACATATTTTGACCAAATTGAGCCATGATTTAGCAAAACACGGTATAATTCGATCAAGGACACCAAATTATGGAAAAATCCTTCAAAGTAGTCGCGCTTTCCCACACTTCCAGTTTTAGTGTTTTTAACGAACTCAAGTTGGCGGTCACGGTGAAACGTAACCTATAAGTTGTCAAATTTTACGTGTTTTTACCATTTTTTACCCAATATTCATTGTTTTTTGCAAAGTTAAACAACTCAAGGTACCGTACACACACAAACCAACACTTTTTCGCTAAATCTAACCCTTTTTCGCCAGATTGCGCAATGGAGCAGCCCCCTTCAAAGCCCCCCATTTTCACCTGCATCAGCTGCTGCGTCGCTTTCAAAGACGCGGAACTCCAACGCAACCACTACAAAACGGACTGGCACCGCTACAACCTGAAACGAAAAGTGTCCGAGTTGCCCCCCGTGACAGCCGAAGACTTCCTCCAAAAAGTGCTAAACCAACGAAACATCGAACAAATGGCGCAGCAAGACAAGAGCGTCTACTGTCAGACGTGTCGCAAATCCTTCTGCAACGAAAACGCCTATTCCAATCACTTAAACTCGAAAAAACACAAAGAAAATGAGAAGAGTTTCCAAGGGGGCGAACGACGCAGCGAGAGTAAAACTGACGAAGACGGAGAGTCAGACGTGGAGGAAGTGGATTCCGACGAGTGGGATGAGGAAACTGAAAACCCCATCGAAGCTAATGATTGCATTTTTTGTCTGCACCACAGCAAGAATTTTTTGAAGAATTTAGAACACATGACGACGTTGCATTCGTTTTTTATTCCGGATATAGAGTATTGTATGGATGTGTACGGGTTGTTGAAGTATTTAGGGGAGAAAGTTTCAGAAGGTAAAGTAGTTGTTGTTAAATTAGTAGTGGTAGTAAAGGGGTTTTTCAGGTTTCATGTGTTTATGGTGTAATGAAAAAGGCAAGACTTTTTACACTGCAGAGGCTGCCAGACAGCACATGGTGGATAAAGGTCACTGCAAGATGCTTCATGAGGGTGAAGCTTTAGCTGAGTATGCAGATTTTTATGACTACTCATCTTCATACCCAGACGCTGATAAAGAACACAACCCAGATGAAGAAGTCGCGCTTCCAGAGTTGGATGGGTCTGATTATCAGTTGGTTTTACCGTCAGGGAGTACCATAGGACACAGGAGTCTAATGAGATACTATAAACAAAATCCTAATCCTAACTCTGCTTTAGTTGTCAAGGACTCAAAGAAAATGGGGCGGCTTTTGTCGTCTTATAGGGCTCTGGGATGGGTGGAAACTAGTAAAGAGGCGGCGGCAAGAAAGGCGAGGGATATTCACTATTTGAAACGGATGCAGGGGAAATTGAGGGTGAAATTAGGGGTGAAAGCCAACAAATTCCAACCCCACTTCAGGTCACAAGTTAACTTCTAGACTAGAAATGCGCGCCGTTATATGTCTCATACAATATTCTGTATATAAGTTGAATAAATAAATTAGCTGTCATGGTGTACTGTGTGTTGCATAACTTTGAAACTGCGTAGCTTCCAATTTAAGGAGGCTCGCTAGACGAGGTATATATTTTTTGGGTTTATTGTATGAAAAAATGATATTAATATAGATGTATCATATATCAAACTGCAGCTTTTTTCATATTCTAGAGCACAGAGACCAGTTCAATCAACTAAAAAATATGGCTGAGAAATGTCGTAAAAAAAGCACCATTGTATGTTTTCTTTTCAAGTTTTTTGAGTCATAACCATCATAGAATCACTTGAAAATTCGCACATGGATAAAACATCACTTTTTACAGGGCGCAGAGTCATTAAATGTTTGTTAGTGGTACAATTTGTTTAAATAATAATGTGTTTATTAAAATCAAAATATATCACAAATTAATGCAACATACGTCGAATAATTTTAACAGGAATATCAGAGAAAAATTACTGATCTATTGCTTAGCAGAGTTTTTAACAAAAACTACCAATTATTGAAAAAAATGGGTATGAATTCGACAGATTTTGAGCCGTTAGTTCAGTACTTTGCCGATAGGAGCGCCACTAAAATTTTAGGACGCGACTTTCCAGGTAAAACCCTTATCGCCTGCTCTACCATAAGCTGATTGTTAGAGTATAGAGTTTTCGGCAGATTTTTCTAAATTATGGCAAGGAACTCAGTTTTATAACAAGCCACCAGGACTGGTCGTAGTAATCTATTGTTAAGGAAAATAACTTTTACGCAATGAGGTACTATCATAAAACCGAATTAAAACTGGAGAACTATAATATTTTTACTCCACTCAGGATCCTGACTTCAATACACATGATTACTAAAAATTCATTGTAATATTATTGTTAATATATATTTTGCTTTGTTAATTTATAAAACTAATAAACATATTTATAATAATAATAAAAAATATATAAAATACAGCTTTTGTTTAACACGTATAAGCAGCTAAGTGTATCTATTACTTATCCCAGAAAGGAGGTGTTTTAAAAAAGCCCTACGCCCAGTAACTTCTCCCTTCATTGTTTACTCGAAAAAAGTATTCGTATATGTTTTCATTTGCCGAGAGATCATTTTCAAAATATATTTATAATAAAAATATGCAAGTCTTGGTGATGAAAAATGTACTCCTAATAAATTATTAAAGTACATAAAAAAATATAAACAAGTTTTATTTATTTAAAAAAAATCTCTCCCAAAGGCAGGTTCCTCTTTCTTCTTAAATCAATTATTTCGAGCAATAATGCGCCAAAGTAAAATCTGCCAAGTCTATCTGCCATCTTTTTACATATTTCTTCGTTTTTTTTTTCTATATTAATTCCTTTGGGTGTCCACACAACAAAATAAACTTGTGAAATACCCGTAACAAGCATTTGTCCCTGGGCTTGAAAGTGGTTATCATGATTTTTTTTTACTTACAATTCTCAGTCTGTCAATGTACAAAATTTAATAATTTTTTTCTAACCGCTTCTTCGGGAGACAAATCTTGCGATTTTGAACGGTAATTTATTTCGGCTAATGCACTCCTATCCTCTAGAACCCTGTCTGGACTAGCAGCCAAGTAAGGAAATTGTTTTGAAATAAAGACACATCGTTCAGTTTTTATATTTTTATTTATTTCAAAACACTTGACAGCTTTTTCCTCACTTTGTTGTCCATAGTATGTATGACTATTACCTCTAAATGTACTGTACAACAGCGACTCCACAGTTTTCGCTATTGCTGTAGTCGGTCTAAGTTTGTAAATATGTCCAAAATTTGAAGCCGTAACACTAATTTCTCTTTCTTTTGCCCAAATGTGCCTGTTGCCTAGTGTCTATGTCAATTTGGTCTAAATTCAAAGACAATTTTCTCAAAAAAACCTCTTTGGCTGTCAGAAATGTTTCTACATCCATGTCAGGATTATCTAAAAAATATTTAAACCATAATCGCAATCGGGACTGGCATACGTACATTTTTTTACGACATATTTTTTTACGAATACTTTGTCTAAGACGAGCTTGTTGCATAGACGAACAATATTTTTTTGTTATTAAACCAGGACCGTTTTAATCACAATATATTTACTTATCCCCTCCAAAAAATTGATGACGTCAGCTCTAAAGTTTGATGAATAATCTTATTTAAAATGTACAAAATATGATGACTCTTCTTGTAATTTATCATTCCATTCATATTTTTTGGATTCGGATATACAGGGTGACTCAAAAAATTTAATGAATGCGCAAATTTATTTTATTGATTTAATCAGGAACTACAAAACCGAATGCTTTGAAATCTAATGTGAAAAAAAAACCTAATAGGAATGCAGTCGTCACGTTTCCGATAGCGAGGGAAGTACTGTCTAAACTCTTTAGACCGATTTTTTTGATTTTCCCATTTCTCCCATTTCTCAATTTTTCAATGTTTCAGTTTGTGATTTTTTCACTGTTTCGATTCTTTAATTTTCCTTCCAATTTTGGGTTTTTCAATATTTCAGCTTTGGAATTTTTCAATATTTCGTTTCTTCAATTTTTCAAATTTTTGATAGTGTTTTCTCGGTTTTTAAATTTTTCGATATTTTACTTTTTCAGTTTTTAAAGTTTTAGGTTTTTAGATTTCTCACTATCTCGACTTTTCGATTTTTCAGTTCCATGATTTTTCAATTTGTCGAATTTTTAAATTTTAGAATTTTTGTTTTCTTTGATGTTTTGAGTTCTCGATCATTCGATTTCCTGAGTTTTCAGGCTTGGATTTTTGTTGTTGTTCAATTCTTGGATTTTTAAAATTTTTGTTTTTTAAATTTTCCTATTTATCAACTACTGGGATTTCAATGTTTTGATTTTTTGATTGTTCAATTTCTCGATTTTTTGAACTTTTAGTGTTTGATACGATTTTTTTTTTTCAAAAATTTTCAGTTTTTCAATTTATTAACTTTACGATACAGTTTTGCTCGATTTCGATTTTTTTTTCGACATATTACTATTGGGATTTTTCAATTTATCGATTCTTCGATTTCTCGATTCTTCATATTTTCAGTTTCTCGAATTTTTTCATTTTTCGATTTCTCAATTTTCCGATATTTCAGTTTTACGATTTTTAAATTTTTTAATTTTTCAGTTTTCAATTTTTGACGTTTCTAAATTTTTCGATTTTTCAATTTTTCGATTAACTGATTTTTTGATTTTCCCATTTCTCTATTTTTTGATTTTTCAATTCTTTCTTGAATTGTGATTTTTCAATTTTCCGATTTCTGAATTTTTCAATGTTTCAGTTTTGGATATTTTCACTTTTCCGATTCTTCAATTTTCTTTCCATTTTTCAATTTTTTAGGATTTTAGTTCTGGGATTTTGCAATGTTTCGGTTCTTCAATTTTTCCATTTTTTGATGTTTGGATTTCTCGGTTTTTCAATCTTTCGATAGGTATTTTAATTTTTCAATTTTTAAGTTCTAGATTTTCCGTTAATTTTTCTGTTTTCCTTGATGTTTTGATTTCTCGATTATTCGATTTTTCAAGTTCTCGGTTTAGATTTTTTGGTTTTCCAATTCTTCGATTTTTAAATTGTTTAATTTTTAGATTGTTCAATTTCTCGATTTATAAATTTTTCAATTTTTCGGTTTACCGATTTTTTTCATTTAAAATGTTTCAATTTTTCAATTATTAAGTTTTCGATTTTTCAGTTTTGGTGTAATTTGAAAACGTGAAACTGAAAAATGAAAGAAAAACTAAAAATGGGAAACTAAATCGGGAAATCAAAACACTAAAAAATCGAAACATTTAAAACGACAATTGAAAACTGAAAATCTAAAACCAGGAAGTCGAAAAATCGAAATATTGAAAAATCCCAAAACTGAAATATCCAAAAACTGAGAATCTAAAGAATCGAAAAATGGAGCAATCGAAAAATCAAAAAAGTAAAGTCGAAAAATCGAAACCTTCAAAAAATCGAAAAATTGAAAAATCACAAATCTGAAAATTCGAAAAATTAAAGAATTGAAGAACAGGAATATCGAAACCCTCGAAAGTCAAGAAATGGGAAAATCAAAACATCGATTAATTGAAAAATCTAAAAATTGACAGTTTATAAATGTCAAATTTGAAAAATTGAAAAACCGAAAATTTGAAAAAACGACAATTGAAAAACAGAAAATCTAAATCCTGGAAGTCGAAAAATCAAAAGATTAAGAAATCAAAACATTTGAAAAACTCGAAAACTTGAAAAACTGAAACATCGAAGAACTGAAATGAAAAATCGGGAAATCGAAAAATCTAAAATTTAAAAATCGAAAAATTGGAAAAACGACAATTGAAAAACAGAAAATCTAAAACCCGGAAGCCGAAAAATCGAAAGATTAAGAAATAGAAACATTTGAAAAATGGAAATATGGAAGAGCTGAAATGAAAAATCGAGAAATCAAAAAATCTAAAATTCAAAAATCGAAAAAGTAAAAAATCAACAAGAAGTCAAAAATGGAAAAGTCGAAGAACAGAAATATTGAAAAGTGGGGAAGTCGAAAAATCGAAAGATTAAGCAATCGAAAAAGTAAAAAAATCGACACATCGAAAACCCCAGAAGCCAAAAATCGAAAAATCGAAGAATCGGAATATTGAAAAATCCCAAAACTGAAATAGCCAAAAACTGAGAACCTACAAAGTCGAAAAATTGAGCAATCGAAAAATCCAAAAAGTGAAGTCGAAAAATCGAAACCTTAAAAAAACTAAAAAATGAAAAATCAAAAATTTTTCGATAGGTATTTTAATTTTTCAATTTTTAAGTTCTAGATTTTCCGTTAATTTTTCTGTTTTCCTTGATGTTTTGATTTCTCAATTATTCGATTTTTCAAGTTCTCGGTTTAGATTTTTTGGTTTTCCAATTCTTCGATTTTTAAATTGTTTAATTTTTAGATTGTTCAATTTCTCGATTTATAGATTTTTCAATTTACCGATTTTTTCATTTAAAATGTTTCAATTTTTCAATTATTAAGTTTTCGATTTTTCAATTCAAACTTGTCTCTCGACTAGCGTTCCCCCTTAATAATGGCGTCCATTCGTGTCCTACATGTGTAGGTTATGAATCCGTGTTGATTTTAAGGGGGGGGGGGGGGTGTGATTGGAAAGAATAGTCTTTGAAACATTTAAAATACATCATTTATTATCATGTTTCTCATCGGAGGCTCGATAAGATTCATGAGTTCTATAGATCGAATGATTTACATAAACATAAATAATAAATAGTACTATCATTATGTCATATACAGATAAGACATGGATGTAAATCATATCTACCAGATGATTCATTAATATTTTTGAGTAGTATCTATGACATAGAATTATAGACGTATATTCAATCATGACGAAAACATTTGTATCTAGCAAATAAAACAACGAATCTTCAACGTTAGTAAATTGAGCTGGTTCAGGTTATTATGATTCGCCTACAGTTTATAACACTGATGTGTGTCACGATCGGAATTGAAAATAAACTATCGGGATAAATTTGAGTTTCTTATATACATAGTGATTACGACTAACAAATTACATTTACAAAAATTCAACCTTATTTATAAATTTTCTCTATCACAAAATATTCATTAGAGTTAAATCGCGTTGAGCCATAATGCGACCGAACTGCATGAATATTTCTTTTTTTATTAAAATAATATGTATATTTTTTCTTCTTCCTCGCAAACATACCGTTCTTCATACAAAAAATATAATTAAACATTCTGTCGTCGGGACAAAATGTTTAAGTACAGTTTGTTTTGATTACTTGTAACAATTTCTATCAGTCAGTCTTAGTTTATAAAACACCACGTACTATTTATAAAAAAATATTACTATAGTACTTTATTCATAAGTACTTGATGAGGGGGGTATTGGGAGAGATTCCTTACGTTTTAAATGATGGATGCAGAGTAACATGATATGAATTACATAAACTGTTTCACGAACGGAAAACAATGATTTTTAAACTGTCCTTTGTTAACGAGATATGTAACATCTATTGGATTATTTAAGTACACTCATATATTATTTATAAAAAAGTAAATGGAATTTTCTTTTTCTTGTGAAAGTAATTAACAAACGATAAAAATTTAACAGTTACAATATTCTCCATAGTATGAATAACAAATGAAACGTCGTCGTTAGTATCTCTAACCGTGCTATAATAAAATATCTCTATTTTAGGGATTTGCGAATCATATAAAAAAAACCCAAGAAATTCAATTGTAGAAAAATACAAAATTTGTATAATTTCAAAGACCACAATGAATTTACTTTCTCAGAAAAAATCAAGGGGGATGTTTACGGCACGCTGCGCCTGGAGGAAAACTGTGTCTCTGCGCCTACTCCGGAATGATCAAGTAAATTTCTTGTAATCTTCACTAATTTGGCACGTGTACATTTCTTGTGCATCCGAAGCCAGATTAGCTATATAAACGTATTTTATTGTCAGTCACCTTAATTTGACAATTTTCTTTTAAATTATTATTTACAATAGAAGAATGCAGTTTTTGTTTATTTTCGTTTTTAGCTTTAAACAGGTGACTATTTTCAACGTGCGTTTAAGCATCGGCTTGAACCATCTCGACTTTGTGCAATGGTGTTACTGACGGGGACCTCTCCAGCTCTGGGGTGACCGTCTCGCAGTTGGAGCTGCACGGCGTCAGGATGGTGGGGATGAGGCTGGCGATCTCGGGGCTGCTGGTACCGGCCGTGTCCTCGTAAACCTTCTCCTAAAACACACAACCGTCAACAACCCCATCGCCACCGAAAACGCACCTCGAAACCGTCCCTCTGTCAAAAAACTACCCACCTGCGACTTGTCGTACTTGAGCCGCTTCCAGATGAACTGCTTGCGGTCCCCGTTCGCCGTGGACACGTTCGGCTCGTTCCCCGACGCCGAGTAGTAGTTGGGGTTGGAGAAACTCCTCCCAGTCGCGTACAAATACTTCTTCTTCCCCTTCTTGAACAGCAAGAACAACACCAGGATTATACACAACAGGATGATGCACAGCATGGGCACCAGCGTCATAATGTAGAACTTGTGGGAGTGGTCGGCCATCGAGTGCTCGGGCGTTTCCTCGAAGTCTTTTAGGTTCGTCGGGTTGTAAATATCCTCATCGTCGTCGTCGTCATAGTCGCACTTGTAGTTCCCCGCTGGACACTTATTCGGAACTGGAGATTTAGGTTCACCTTCCACACACTTAACGTTCTCGTTGGGGCAGCCACACGTGTAGTTCTTCAGTTTGAAGAAGCACAAATAGGGACAACCCCCGTTGTTGACGGCGCAAGGATTCCAGCCAAGCTGGCGGCTCGCACTGACCATGGTGAGCCCCATGGCCGCTTCCAACGGGGACCTGATGGTGACGGCGTCAGTCCCCGAGGTCTTTTCGGCTCGGAAGACGGATTTTTGCACCCAGTCGGTCCAGTAGATATGGTCGCCGAACTGGGTGAGAGAGAAGGGATGGGTGCCTTGGATCTTGAGAATGATCCGATTCGTGCCGTGGAGATTCGACGTCTCGATGCGCTCAGCGTTGAGTTTGGCGTCGATCCAGTAAAGTCGGCGCTCCAAGTAGTCGATAGTGAGACCGATAGGGAAGCTGAGTTCGTCGCTTATTAGCACCTTCCTGGAAGAACCATCCAAGTACGAACGTTCGATTTTCGGGTGCCCCCAGTCAGTCCAAAACAAGTAACCCTTACGGGGAAAAACTGCAATAGAACGAGGATCCTCGAGGTCCTTCTTGATAATGGTTTTCCGGTGAGAGCCGTCGATTTTCGCAACTTCGATTACTTTGTTCCCGGTGTTGGTCCAGTAGAGGTTGTGTGCAACCCAGTCGATTGCTATGCCGTCTGGCGAAGATAAGTTGGCGCGTACCACGTTTCGTACGTCTGACAAGTTGTACATGTTCACGCTTTGAATCACGTGGTTGCCTATATCCGTGTAATAGATGAGTCGCTTTTCCCAGTGGAAGTCCACGTCGATGACATTATTAACATCGTCGATGGGTAGAGTCACATCCCATAAGTCTTCAGTGTCTAAACTGATCCGATTCAAGGCGAACCGCGTCGCTAGTAACAAGTACGTGGAAGGTTGCTTCTCGCACTGTTTCGGGTTGGTCTTCGACATACGTACCCCAGTAGGGCACGCACAACTAAAACCCTTGGAGTTGCGCAAACACAGATGAGAGCAACCCCCATTGTTGTTACCGCAAGCGTTTTCAGCAATATTGTCACTCTGAACGGAGCGGACATCCATCAACCCGTCTAGCTTGTCCCGGATGATCGTCCTGTCAGTACCATTAGTCTTTTCGGCGCGATGCAAAGCCTCGGTTTGCCAGTCCGTCCAGTAGATGTGATTACCCACAACTACTAACCCATATGGGTGCGGCGCTTCCGTGATAATCACCTTTCGGTCGTTACCTCTCAAGTCACTCGATTCAATAGTATTTAGCTTCCCGTCGTTCCAATACAACCGTTCCGTGGGTCGATCTATCGCTAACCCATTCGGCCACACCAAGTTTTCAGTGATAAGCGCTTTTCTTTTACTACCGTCCATCTGCGCCACTTCGATTTTCGCCTTCTTACCCCAATCCGACCAAAACACGAGACCATGGTGGTAGTGTAGGGTAATCGCACGCGGGTTATCCAAATTCGTACTAAACAGAACCTTCCGATTGGTGCCATCCAACTCCGCCACTTCCACACTATTCCTCTCCCCATCCGTCCAGTAGATCTTGCGACCCGTCGAATCAACCGCAATCCCATCCGGAGTTTGCAGCTCATGCATGATTATCAACTTCGCCTTTTTCCCATCCGGCGTGCTCTTCTGAATCACATCCTCAGCTTTATCCGTCCAGTAAATCTCTCCCGTTTTTCGATCCACGTCCACCGAAGTCACCAACTTCAGCGGCGGAAGCGGCAAAATCACATCCGAGATGTAAGGAACATCCAGAGAAATCTGCCGGATGACGTTCCTGTGCGCCAGTATCAGATAATTGATCGGTCCGTTGGTGCACGTCTTGCCGTCCTTCTCCAACTTGATACCAGTGGGACAAGCACAAGTGTGGTTGTTTTTGGGTCTGAGGAGACAAAGGTGGGTGCAGCCCCCGTTTTTGGTGCTGCAAGGGGTCTTGGTGATTTTGCGATTGCGGTGGAAGACTCGGACGTCCATGAGGCCCGTGATCCCGGAAGCTAGGACCGTGCGGTTTAAACCGGTGAGTTTGTTGGCGCGTTCGATGCTGAGGGTTTGCCAGTCGGTCCAGTAGATGAAGTTGCCGAAGACGTCTAAACCGAAGGGGTGCGGCAGCTCGGGGCCATCTGTAAGTAGTCGTACTAAGACGAACTGACCGTGGGTTTGACTTACCGATGATGACTTTGCGTTTAGTGCCGTCGAAATTGGAACACTCGATGGCTTTGGTACCGCCGTCGGCCCAGTAGATTTTACCGGCGCTGTGGTCGATGGCTAAGCCGTTGGGCCAAGTCAGGTTGCTGTTGACGATGACGGCGCGCATGGACCCGTCCATGGCGGCTCGTTCAATCTTAGGGGTATCGGCCCAGTCGGACCAATACATAAAACCACCTGAAACTGATTTTTGACAAAATTGACTACAAATAGCCCGATTTTAATACCAGTAGGGTCTACGACGATGTCCCTAGGTTTGTACAAGTTGTCCCAAACCAAAAGGCTGCGCATCTTACCATCAGTCTGAGCCACTTCAATCTTAGCCGCGTCGGCGTCCGTCCAATAAATCTTATTAGTCAACCAATCCAGAGCCAAACCAGCCGGGGACACTACAATCGTCCCGTCAGTAACCCAAAACTTGCCAATACAGACTTACCAATATTGGTATTCACTATCACTTCTTGATTGGACCCGTTCCAAAGAGCCCGATTGATAGTGTCCCGTTCCACGTCCGTCCAGAAAATATAGTCGGTTTCTGAATCCCAAGCAATAGCTACAGCCGACTTAACCCCATCCACTGGTATCACCTGAAAGCACGTAATTACAAAAACGGCGCAGTCGCTAGTATATCTCAAGCGTTACCATTTGGTGTTGATGGACCGCATTATTATCCAAATGCTTGATCCTCAAGTCCTTTTTCCGTGCGAAAAGCAACAACTTCTCCGGTTTTTGACACGACTTTTTGTCAGCTTTTAACTTCTGTCCCATTCGACACACACACGTGAAGGATTTCCTGTTCGGTAGACACATATGGGCACACCCTCCATTATTCTTCCCGCATCTGTTCTGGTATTTGGGTTGTCTTTGTGGATGGTAACTATGAATGTCCATGGGGAAATGTAACTGCGAGTGGATTGTTCTTAACCCCGCCCCCGTGGCTTTATTCGCTGTGGAAATAGACTTCGTGTGCCAGTCAGTCCAGTAGATCGCGTCCTCAAAAATAGTGAGAGCGAAGGGGTGTGGCAACCCTTTACTGATAACTTTTCTGCGGTCGCGCCCGTCGAAAAGAGCGGTTTCGATGACGTTGTGTTTAGCATCCGCCCAGTAAATCCTATTGGTTGTATAGTCCAAGGTGAGACCGTTCGGCCAAAAGACAGATTCGTTGATGATGCTCTTTCGGTTGCTGCCATCCATTTCAGCTCTTTCGATTTTGGGGTTAGGGCCCCAATCGGTCCAAAAGACGAAGGCTTCACCTGGGTGGACCGTGATAGCGCGAGGTTTATCAATGTCGTTCCCGGCAATGATGGCTCTTTGTTTGCCATCCAAAGTTGCCACTTCGATGCGTCTGGTGCCGGAATCCGTCCAGAAGATTAAATCGTGGACCCAATCTAAGGCAACACCTCCAGGGGACTGCAGACCCCACTTTATGATATCGGTGATATCGGAGCCGTTGAGGGTCGCCCTCCTGATCACGTCCATGGAGACATCCGACCAGAAGATAAAATTTTTGTTGTAGTGGTAGTCCAACGCAATTGCGTTGTGAAGACCTTTCAAAATGGCAGTGTATTTGGAGTTGCTCAACGAAACCTACAAACACAGTTATTTTGGTTCTTTTTTTAGTATGAAGGTGTACCTGACGGATGTCAATTCTGTTGGCAAAAAGAAGAGTAGGTGGAGCCCCTAGGGCCTTACACGTTCTCAAATCGGGTCGAAGGACATACCCTGTCATACACCCACACCGGAAACTTCCGGCTGTGTTATTACACGTTTGCGAACACACCGGGTCTGTCGCATACAAACATTCATTAATGTCTTCGCACCTGCATCATTCCCATGATTGTTAAAAGCCAACTTTAAAACAAACACCCTTACGTGTATCCATCCCCCGACAGCTTATACCCCGGGAAACACGAACACCCTTTTTCGCCATCTGCCAACGTGACGCACCTCTGCGCACACTTCGTATTCTTCTCACACTCCCTCTTACTCGGACACTCACTCTCGTCTTCCCCCTTCGGACAATCCTTCTTCCCATCACAAACATGCTTCTTCGTGATACAAAACTCCGTCGTGTTGTCGTTAGGACCCGGACCGCTGCACGGAAACTTGGACTCATCGCAAACTATCTCGCACTTGGACTCGTCTTCGCCTTGCGGACAGTCGTTGTACCCGTCACAGACCCACGTTTTCTGCAACGAATCGCAAAATTGAAGGAATAGTCGCTGGTTTTAGCTCACCAGGATGCAGGCGCCGTTACTGCAAGTGTGCTCGTCGGGCGAGCACGACCTGGCTGCCGAGTAGTCGCAGTTGGCTTCGTCTTCGTTCTGTTCGCAATCGTGTTGCTTGTCACACCTGTATCGGTCGGGGATGCACTTGCCGCTGTTGCATCTGCAAAGTCGGGGTTAGGGGGGGTTTGCGGTGAGGGGTACCTACTTGAATTCGCCGCTCACGCAGTTCCCGGGGGCTTTTTCGCAGTCGTCTTCGTCGCTCCAGTCGTCGCAGTCGTTGTCCCCGTCGCATTTGAAGGTGAGTTTGATGCACTTCTTGGAGGCGCACTGGAACTCGCCTTCGTTGCAGTAGGGCGGGGTGATGTCTAGAAGAAGCGGTTTGTGGTTAGTAAAGCGAAGGGCGAGGTTGCAACAACAAGGAAGATGCTTTCTGTAGAAGATTTAAGAAGAAGCTATGTGGAAGGGTACAAGATGCGGTGACACGAAGAAGAGGAACACGTTAGGACTGTGAGAAAATGCAGGACATCCTTTGCTTTCCAAAGAAGATTAAAGAAGATGGAATATGGGAACTAGAAGGGGTAAAAGACGAGGAAGAACATGTGGCGACACAATAATACGTAGTGGTAAGCGAGGAAAGATAAGCTCCTCCGTAGTCTAGTGGTAAGGGCACCCGCCCGGCATGCGGTAAACGTGCGGTTCGATTCCCACCGGAGAAGCAACATTTCTCTTCGCTTATCCTACAAATATATAGGGAGTTAGGACTTTGAGAAGGTACCGTTGATTCCTCTTGAGATAGGACAAGGAGGAGGGACACGTTGGAGCTGGTGTAGAGAGTTGGGACTTTGACGAAATTCGGGACATCCTTCTTGGAATGAGACAAGATCTAAAAATTACAGAATAGGGGGAAAATGCTTTCCAGAGAAGCTGCAATATGGGAGTCAGGACTTTGAGAAGGCACCGGGAGATTCTAAACCCCGTGTGTAACATTCGGGCGTGGTGCATCGGGATAGTCACGTGGTAGCTTTCGATAAAATCCGAAAGAGGGAAGAAATAGTTATTAGAGTTGTAATTGGGTAACATTTTAATGTTTAAATTTTCGTTTAGTTCTGGCTTCTGGTACCTACCGCAGTCGCTCTCGTCCGACCCGTCCGAGCAGTCCTCCTGCCGGTCGCATTTCCAGCTCAGAGAAATGCACGACTCGTCGCTACACTCGAACTCGTCCTCCGAGCATCTGGAAAACGGAAAATTCCCAGCATCGACAAATCCATAAAAAGTCACAAGTCCCCGAACCCACCCTTTTCCTCGGTAAATCTAAAATGCAGTCGGTCCTAACCCTGCATAAAAATTATATTTAAAGGCAAAACAGCAGATAATGGGAGATACGTTAAAGTGGCACTGGAGGCGGTGTCGATCGATGGAAAGAGGGTGGTTGGGTTACTATGGAGACCGATGCCCCAGCCAAGTTTACCTGTATGGCGAATAAAATAAATGTACTATTATTTTGTTAACGGGTCTAAAAATACGTCGAAAGGGATACTTGGACGCCGTCCATTAGGTTATTATTATCGGGGGCGGCGGCGGGGTGGCGCTAAATACGACTCGCTCGCTTACCCCGTTTTGGTGCAGTTCAATTCGTCGGAGAAGTCCTTGCAGTCGTTGTCGTTGTCACATAACCAGGTCTTGGGTATGCATAGGCCGTTGGCACACTCGAACTGGTCCACGCTGCAGTTTACGGCGAAACCTGAAATGACATAAGTGGGATTTTACGGTTATTGCAATCAATTATACTTTAACCAGACATCACTACTAACTTTATGGAAAAGTAAATGAAAAGTTCGCCCTTGTGGAACTCCACCACTTACCGCAATGAGTTTCGTCCGAAAAGTCTCCACAGTCGTCGTCCCCATCGCACAACCATTCGTTCAAAATGCACTTTCCGGACCCCGGACATCGAATAAAATTCTCACTACTGTCACACTTCACGTTTCGTTGCGCCTCAATCTCCCCACACTCCAACTCATCTTCGTCACCTTCGCAGTCGTCTTGTCCATCACATCTTCAAACAAAAATCATCACTCACAGCCCCCACAAACCTACCAACCCTACCTGTACTTCTCGTTAATGCAAGTACAACTCCTCACACACAAGTACTCCCCCACGTCGCAGTCGCCGCCGCACGGATGCCCGTGCGTCTCCTCCATCGGCTTTTCCTCCTCTTCCTCTGGGAACTTCAAGTGGAGATCGGGACTACCCTTCCCCAGGATCCCGTTTTTCGGAGGCAGCCGGCCCAAGCGCCTTGACCCCATATCCGGGGGCATCTTCTCGAACCCTTTGCCCGTGATGAACCCGAAGTCGAACGGGTATCTCGACCGGACTATACCGAGCCCTCTGTTGGGGCGCCCGTCTGGGTACTCGATCCGTCCGCCGTACATCCCGCGGTTGGATGGGCGGTCCATGTTGGGCGAAGACGGTATTCGGGACATATCCGGGTGGTAGAAAATGGGGTAGCCGGAAGGGTACCGGTCGATCTCGCGCATGGGGATGGAATAAGGTACCACCGGGTACGCCTGGTGTGGCACGAATATTCGTCTTTGGTTGATTTGCTCGGGACTCACTGTGGTCCTAACGCCGTGCTGTCTCTGGCCAGTGGCGTAGATGGGTTTGGTTCCTGGGGGCCGCAGCGACCCAGAACCGTACATTTGGCGGGCGGCGCCTCGGTGAGGAGGGGCCGTTATGACGGGGTGCGACGTAGCGTCCGTGCATTGCGCTAAAATTATTATCACTATGAGAGAAGTCGTTGTCGAAAGCGGCGAAGAACGCGGGTGCGAGAACGGATCTCTGATGAAAACGCGCGTGTCCATCAAATACGAACTGCGTGAAGAATGATTTAATTAAAAAGTTCTATAAATAGACGCCGCGCTAGAAATAGGAAATTAGTGGGATGGGTGGTACGAATGCAAAAAGTTCAAGTGCGTGTAAACGAGCGTTTAATTTGTTTGGTGTTGCGATAAGGTTATTTTCGGAGCTGCTGGCGAACTGTGCGATAAGAAAGGGTCAATTTTGTCGTCGGATGGGGGAAAAATTCGTAGATCAATTTTAATTGGTGATGAATCACATTGCGTGTACATTTCCGCGGCTGTTTCTTGACCCATTTGCTGAATTGGCTTCGCTTTAATTATCCCATGTGGATTTTTCCACATTCGAGAAAACCGCATCAATGGAATCTAAAACGAGTTCCTCCACTTATTCAGTGAAAACTCATCTTTAATACGACGCACTTAAATAACTCTTATCTCGAAAAACAAGTTATCAATTACTTGAATAATGTCTCGACCATCTGCTAAAGAGCTTGTCTTTGAGCATGAGCGGTCTGTTAAAACGAACTGATAATTACAGGCAGCCAACGTAAGGTAAAAATACTCGTTTATTTGCTGAGATTTGCATAAGATGAAGATAGAGTCGCGTCGGACATGAAACACTAGGTATTTTGAAATTTCGCTTTTGTTGTCGCCGATTGACAACAATCTGAAGCCTCTTTGAATTATACAAAAGGTGCATGATGTTTCCGTTTCACGGCAGAGGCTGGCTCTAATAATAGACATCCGCTGTGATTTTCGGAAAATTTTATTCATAGCTAAAAATATGTGTTGTTGATTGAGGGTTTCAAAAATAACAATAAAATGAATGGAAGCCGGCTGGGTGGCACATAGTTCGAAAGTGAGACTAGCTGGCACCGGGAACAAGATTACAATCAGACGAAATGCGGAATTACAACTGATACAAGCACGTCTTTTTCGTTATTTAACGGTACCAAGTGTTTAAATTTGCCGCTCACTTCACTTCCGCCAATCAAAAAGTGTGACAATGCGATTATGACTGACGTTTCAACTAGAGTGCCTTGATATGACTTCAAATTTGACGAAAACGTCATTTGTACCAGGGGAGTAACAAATAAGTATAAAATTTCTTTGCAAAATGGATATCATCTTTGTAACTTCTCAACTGACGAAGCAAAAATTGTAATAGAAAAAAAGATTTCATTTTCTTAAAAAAGACAGCTAGGAGCCCCGAGAAGATTTAATGTTCTTAAAAAAAAGACACCTGGGGCCCCCGAGAAGATTTCGCCTTGTTTAAGAAAGGTTTCGCATTAAAGAAAACGGTGGGGGGCCCGAAGAAGGTTTTACATTAAAAAAAAAAGACAGTTGGGACCACCGAGAAGGTTTCACATTAAGAAACAGACAATTGGCGACCCCGAGAAGGTTTCACATTTTTAAAAGACTGTTGGGACCCCTGAGAAGGTTTCGCGTAAAAAAAAACCTTTGGGGCCCCCGACAAGGTTTTACATTAAAAAAAAGACAGTTGGGATTCCCCAGAAGGTTTTACATAAAAAAAAGACAGTTGGGCCACCGAGAAGGTTTCACATTAAAAAACAGACAATTGGCGACCCCGAGAAGGTTTCACATTTTTAAAAACGACCGTTGGGATCCCCGACAAGGTTTTACATTAAAAAACAGTCAATTGGCGACCCCGAGAAGGTTTCACATTTTTAAAAAAGAACGTTGGGACCCCGGGAAGGTTCCGCATTAAAAAGAAAACGTTTGGGGCCCCCGACAAGGTTTTACATTAAAAAACAGACAATTGGAGACCCCGAGAAGGTTTCACATTTTTAAAAAAGACCGTTGAGACCCCCGGGAAGGTTTCGCATAAAAAAAAAAAACGTTTGGGGCTCTCGACAGGGTTTTACATTAAAAAAAAAAGACAGTTGGGATCCCTGAGAAGGTTTTACTTAAAAAAAAGACAGTTGGGACCACCGAGAAGGTTTCACATTAAAAAACAGACAACTGGCGATCCCGAGAATGTTTCACATTTTTAAAAAAGACCGTTGGAACCCCCGGGAAGGTTTCGCATTAAAAAAAAAGTTTGGGGCACCCCACAAGGTTTTACATTAAAAAAAAGACAGTTGGGATCCCCGAGAAGCTTTTACATTTTTAAAAAAGACAATTGGGACCACCGAGAAGGTTTCACATTAAAAAACAGACAATTGGCGACCCCGAAAAGATTTCACGTTTTTAAAAAGGACCGTTGGGACCTCCGGCAAGGTTTCGCATTAAAAAAAAAGTTTGAGGCCCCCGACAAGGTTTTACATTAAAAAAAAGAGAATTGGCGACCCCGAGAAGGTTTCACATTTTTAAAAAAGACCGTTGAGACCCCCGGGAAGGTTTCGCATTAAAAAAAAACGTTTGGGACTCTCGACAAGGTTTTACATTAAAACAAAAAGACAGTTGGGGCCACCGAGAAGGTTTCACATTAAAAAACAGACAATTGGCGACCCCGAAAAGATTTCACATTTTTAAAAAGGACCGTTGGGGCTTCCGGCAAGGTTTCGCATTAAAAAAAAAAGTTTGAGGCCCCCGACAAGGTTTTACATTAAAAAACAGTCAATTGGGGACTCGAGAAGGTTTCACATTTTTAAAAAAGACCGTTGAGACCCCCGGGAAGGTTTCGTATTTAAAAAAAAACATTTGGGGCCCCCGACAAGGTTTTACATTAAAAAAAAAAGACAGTTGGGATACCCGAGAAGCTTTTACATTTTTAAAAAAGACAATTGGGACCACCGAGAAGGTTTCACATTAAAAAACAGACAACTGGCGACCCCGAGAAGATTTCACATTTTTAAAAAGGACCGTTGGGACCTCCGGCAAGGTTTCGCATTAAAAAAAAAAAGTTTGAGGCCCCCGACAAGGTTTTACATTAAAAAACAGTCAATTGGGGACCCGAGAAGGTTTCACATTTTTAAAAAAGACCGTTGAGACCCCCGGGAAGGTTTCGCATTAAAAAAAAAACGTTTGGGACTCTCGACAAGGTTTTACATAAAGAAAAGACAGTTGGGATCCCCGAGAAGATTTTACTTAAAAAAAAAAGACAGTTGGGACCACCGAGAAGGTTTCACATTAAAAAACAGACAATTGGCGATCCCGAGAAGATTTCACATTTTTAAAAAGGACCATTGGGACCTCTGGCAAGGTTTCGCATTAAAAAAAAAAGTTTGAGGCCCCCGACAAGGTTTCACATTAAAGAACAGACAATTGGCGACCCCGAGAAGATTTCACATTTTTAAAAAGGACCGTTGGGACCTCCGGCAAGGTTTCGCATTAAAAAAAAAAGTTTGAGGCCCCCGACAAGGTTTTACATTAAAAAACAGTCAATTGGGGACCCGAGAAGGTTTCACATTTTTAAAAAAGACCGTTGAGACCCCCGGGAAGGTTTCGCATAAAAAAAAAAACGTTTGGGGCTCTCGACAGGGTTTTACATTAAAAAAAAAAGACAGTTGGGATCCCTGAGAAGGTTTTACTTAAAAAAAAGACAGTTGGGACCACCGAGAAGGTTTCACATTAAAAAACAGACAACTGGCGATCCCGAGAATGTTTCACATTTTTAAAAAAGACCGTTGGAACCCCCGGGAAGGTTTCGCATTAAAAAAAAAGTTTGGGGCACCCCACAAGGTTTTACATTAAAAAAAAGACAGTTGGGATCCCCGAGAAGCTTTTACATTTTTAAAAAAGACAATTGGGACCACCGAGAAGGTTTCACATTAAAGAACAGACAATTGGCGACCCCGAGAAGATTTCACATTTTTAAAAAGGACCGTTGGGACCTCCGGCAAGGTTTCGCATTAAAAAAAAAGTTTGAGGCCCCCGACAAAGTTTTACATTAAAAAACAGACAATTGTGGACCTCGAGAAGGTTTCACATTTTTAAAAAAGACCGTTGAGACCCCCGGGAAAGTTTCGCATTAAAAAAAAAGATAGTTGGGATCCCCGAGAAGGTTTTACTTAAAAAAAAAGACAGTTGGGACCACCGAGAAGGTTTCACATTAAAAAACAGACAATTGGCGACCCCGAGAAGGTTTCACATTTTTAAAAAAGACCGTCGGGACCCCCGGGAAGGTTTCGCATTAAAAAGAAAACGTTTGGGGCCCCCGACAAGGTTTTACGTTAAAAAACAGACAATTGGTGACCCCGAGAAGGTTTCACATTTTTAAAAAAGACCGTTGAGACCCCCGGGAAGGTTTCACATTAAAAAAAACGTTTGGGACTCTCGACAAGGTTTTACATAAGAAAAAAAAGACAGTTGGGATCCCGGAGAAGATTTTAAGATTAGATACTTAAAAAAAAGACAGTTGGGACTCTCGAGAAGGTTTTACATTAAAAAAAAAGACAGATGGGTCCACCGAGAAGGTTTTACATTAAAAAACACACATTTGGCGACCCCGAGAAGGTTTCACATTTTTAAAAAAGACCGTTAGGACCTCGGGAAGGTTTCGCATTAAAAAAAAAAACGTTTGGGACCACCGAGAAGGTTTTACATTAAAAAAAAAGACATTTTACATTTTTAAAAAGGAAAGTAGGGACCCGAGACAAGGTTTTACAAAAAAAAAACATTTGACGCCTCTGAGAAGGTTCTACATTTTTAAAAAATCGGTCGAAGGTCATTTCAACATAACTTCCCTCGCCCCTGAAATGCAGCCCAATAAATTCCACTTCTCTGAAAAATTATCTTTTTTGCGGTTTTTGTTTTCTGATAACCTCTAAAATAAAAACCAGTGGCGAAAATAACGTTGCCGCAGTTTATTTGACTTAAATTTTTTCTTCAATTGTTAATTTTTTTTGTTCCTTCGTTTAGAAATTCAAATTTAATTTTTCAATTTTTCAACTTTTAAGTTCAATTTTTCGATTTTGCAATTTTTCGATTTGAGTTTCTCGAGTTTTCAATTGTTAATTTTTCCATTTGCAATTTTTCGTTTCAGCTTTTTATTTTCTTCATTTTCACAATATCAATTTTTCAATGTTGCGATTTTACAATTTTTGGTTCTTTCAATTTGTCGTTTCTTCAGTTTTTCAATTTGCAATTTTTCAATGTTTCGGTTTTTTTTTTTCTTTAATTTTACGATATCTCTTCCAGTTTTCATTTTTAAAGTTTACAGTTTTCCGATTTTCCAACTTTTAGACGTTTCAGTTTTTAGATTTGGCAAGTTTTCGATTTGAAATTTCACGAGTTTTCAATTTTTTCATTTTTCAGTTTTTCATTTCTTCAGTTTTTCGAGAATTCCATTGACTTATGTTTTTTATTATATCTCTTCTTCCTTGCGACAACAATTGTTGAAAGAAAACTATGTAGGTATATAAAGAAAAAAACAAACGCTAAGCCCCACCCACCCGCCCCGGTGTCAGTAGTGATTTTTCATTCCTAATCAAGCGAGGGGCGGAATTTAATTGTAACATATTATTTTTCTAGATTATTCTACCCTGTTAGAAACATATTTCGGAGAAATGAGGATTTTGCAACTAAACTCCGCCCTTCAGCTTACGATGAATAAAGCATTCGTCACAATTGAGAAGGGGTGGGTGGGCGGGCCTTATATTTGGTCAATTTTTTCTTAACATACGAAGTCTTCTTTTCCCAACAAGAAACTGACAACATGTTTAACTATCCTGTTGTTGAAAGAAAACTCAATATATTAAAAAAAAAGAAAACAAAAATTAAGCCCCACCCACCCGCCCCGATTTCAATTGTAATGAGTTTTTCATTCGTAATCAGACCGAAGGGTGGAGTTTAATCGTAACACGAATATTTCTCTAAAAAATGCTATCCTTTTAGAAACATACTTCATATGGTAATTTCTTGTAGAGGAATGATGATTTTGCAACTAAACTCCGCCCTTCAGCTCACGATGATTAAAGCGTTCATCACAATTGAGAAGGGGTGGGTGGGCGGGGCTTATATTTGATCAATTTTTTTCTTAATATGCGAAGTCTTCTTTTTGCAACAAGAAACTGAAAACATGTTTAACTAACCTGTTGTTGAAGGAAAATTCTATATATTAAAAAAAAAACAAGATTAAGCAGTCTTAATTTGAAGTTAAACATGTTTACAAAATTTGGAAACAATGTTAGTGAAGTTCTAAATGTATCTAGATAAAAAAATTTGAGAAGATGGGATTTTGCTGCGGATGCTCTTGTTATTAAACTCTTTTAAAATTTAACTATCCACTTCCTGAAAGATTTATTATTTAACTATTAAATGGAAGCTTTAAATGACTTTGAAAAAGACTGCTCTTTATCTTTGGATCAAATACCTTAGATTGGACACTTAAGGAACTCAGAAGATGTAGATGTAGATCCACATGCGATGGTTATGTTAGTAGTCGATGGAAACAAGTTGTGTCCTTTGGGAATTCTGTAGACGTAAAATCTTCTAGAGATTATTGATCTTTGCACCAAAATGGGACTTAATTTGACAAATATAACATCTGACATGGGCTCTTCTAATCGATCAGTTGGGAAAGGTGTAGTAAATTATTCTAGAAATCATGATCTTACGAATAAAATTTTATTTTCATATCAAGGCACTCTAGTTTCGACAAGGCGGCAAATTCAACGCCTACTCTGATGAAACTGTAATTTGCACACACTCTGTATGTTGGAGATATACAGGTGATTGAATTCGTTTGGAACATCAATCATTTTATTTTTCATTTATGTTTACGGAAGCGATAAACCGAAAATATTTCTAGTGTGGTTGTTCTACTTTTTTACAACATCATAATTTAAGACATTAAACCACAGACTTGAGAAGATAAGATAGATAAGTTTGGAGTTAAATACACGTCTTCGTAATTTCTTCTAAGAAGTTGTGTGTGTGTGGTTTTGTAATAAAATTTTGGCTCTTGAAAAAAAAAATGTAACAAAAAATAAACAACACGATAATTTTCGGCGTGCGTTCTTTCGCTTGACCATAAACCTTGGAAGCCTTGAAACCACGAAATTTAAGTGATAATACATATTTTGTATTGTGTGTTATCACTATCAGTAAAAGTACATAAATGTGAATCAGCCCGAGTAACAATGAAATAATGTCAAAAACAGGCACATTCTTGGCCCCCGACCAAATAATGCGATCATCAAGATCGCGTAAAAATTCCCAAAGTGCCAAAACCACGAACCCAGCAATTAACAACAAAATCCCCTCGAACGAAAATATTATTGCGTAACATTCAAATCGTAGTAAACCGAGTTTGCGGACTAGCAACCCCTCAATGAATGGTTCATTCAGAACAAGGCGAGGCCCACTGAACTGATCAATATTTCGCAACTTTCGTTTGTAGGAAGCGAATTTGACACACGGGTGTGACACTCGGGAGGCCGACTCCGGCCCCCCGCCCGCCCCATCAGCAGCCCCCAGCTCACCGCTTCCGACCAGGCATCCCACGATCAGCACCGCGACGACGTCCCCGCGGGGGCGGAGGCCTCTCATCGTTCGCAGAAGGGCCCCGGGTCCGGAAGCGCCTACAGGCTCCTCGCCAAAGCTCTTCTCTTATAGCTCGACATGGCGGTGTCGCAGAAGCACAAGGGTGGGTCGCGCCGCACCTGGGTGTCTTCTTCTCGGCGCCGTCTACGGACGCATCCTCGGGCACCGGCTCCAGGAAAAATCGATCGCGACACAACTGCAATTAATCGATTTCGAGGCGGAATTCGCGCGCACGTCCCAAACCGAATCTTGGGTGAAACTGCGAATGTAGAGAGGTGGAAATTCATCCCCTCCCACTAACACATTTCGCGATTTTTAGACATATCGGCGTCTCTTTCTTTCCTCTTTCCGAAAGCTGTTGTGCAACTGGAGACGGCGCCGGCGCCAATTTCACGTCCTACGCTAATTTTCAACTAGTCGCTGTTTGCTTCAGATGACTTGCTCTTCGCACTTGGTCAAATAGTGGTAACGATTTCCCGGCTGCCGGAGGACTGGAGGCGGGAAGGTGGAGGAAAGCTCGGCGAAGCGAGCTGCGGGAGGGCCGGCGGATGGTAGGGGACCTGGGGGCACGCTGGCGCCGGTTTTGGACTCTTCGGAAATTCAGAAACTACATCAAATTGATCAAATTAGTGCTGACGAATTTAGATGTCTAATTTCACGGCTTTTTGGCAGGTCCGTGTCACCGAATACGAATATGCAAGATTCTCGTTTTGATTTGAAATAATCTCGGAAAGTACCGAACCGGTTACTTCCAAATTTTCACTGTATTTCAGGATTTAAAAAAATCAGCAAACTGTACAAAATACAATTTTCTTAAAAAAAGTTCCAAGCTTCGAGAATGACAAAGTCTATATTGGAATTACGCATTCAATCTTATACTTTTTTTATTAATAATCTCGAAATTACAACCACAGGATCTTCAGAAATATATTTTATTATTTTGTCGATTATGCTACAAAAATTTAGCTGAAAAAGAAATTTACACCTTATTAACAAGTACAGTCCGAAATGCTTGGTACTGGCTGTGCTTCAAAGGGCAGGAAAATTCGGTTCCAGTAAGTTGGTGTGTTGATGATGCCAATGCTGTTTGACAGACTTTTTAGCGAGTTTTTCATTGACTGATTTATTATTCTTTTATGACTTATTTTCTTAATTAATTTTGTTTCTTGCAATAATTATTGTAATTTCTTCTTTATCAAATTTCCATTATGATTATGTTTCATAACTTTTTTTTTAATTTCTTCACTTGCTTATTTTGAGGAATCTAATTCATATGGGCTCAGAAAGATTTCTGATGATGAGGTATAATTTTTTATTTTATTTCTTTTTTTGTTGTATTTTGCATTCATTTTTTTGTTATGATTAGTAATTTTTTAACATTTATTTTCTATTTTTGTTTCTGTTTGTTTATATTTCAAGTGATTTTATCTGAGTAAAAACAATTAACAACAAACAACAAATCCCGCTTCTTTGATAAATTCCAAAAAAATATCGAGGAATCTGAAAACCGAAAAACCAAAATCAAGAAATCAAAAATTCTAAATCCGAAATCTATCGAAACCTCTAAAAATCTAAAATAAGAAAAAACGAAAATTTGAAAAATTGAGAAATCGAAAACTTGAGAAATGGAGAAACCAAAAAAATGAAAAGTCGAAAAATTTTAAAATTCGATAAATTGAAATACATATATGCATACTAAATAGTTTAAAATCGAGAATTCGAAACAACAAAATTTCGTAAAATCAAAAAATGGAAGAGACAAAGATGTAAAATTTAAAAAATCAAAAAATTAGGGATCGAAAAACTAAAAAATCGAGAAATTGATAAATCCCAAAACTGAAAAGTCGAAAAATTGAAAAATCGGAAAGTCGAAAAATCGAAATTGAAAATTTGAAATATCGAGAAATCGAAACATCAAAAGAAAGAGAAAACGAGAGGTCGAAACACTGAAAGCCGAAAAAATTTAAAATTTGAAAAATCAAAACATCGGAATCTCAAGAAAACGAAAAACTAAAATCTAAATTAAAAATCGAAAAATTTAGAAACCGAAACATCAAAAAAGTGAAAAATCTAAATTATAAAAATTCGGAAAATTTAAATACTGGAATGTCGAAAAATTGCAAAATCGATTACATAATCGGAAAATTGAGAAATGAAATAAACGAAAATTTCAAAAAGGAAAAAACTGAAAAATCTAAAAACTGAAGATTCAAAAAATTGAAAAAAAATTGAAGAATCGAAAAATTGAAGACTCAAAAAATGGAAAAATCGTAAAACTGAATCATCAGAAATTTGGGAAATTGAGAGAAGTCGAAAAATTTTAAATTTGAACATATAAAGTTAAAAAAAAACGATAAATCGAAAATTTGAACAATCGACACATCAAAATCTCAATATATCGAGGAATCGAAAAACTGAAAAATCGGAAAATTGAAAATTTAAAAATTGAAAAAATAAAATTTAAAAATTCGAAACATTGAAAAGTGGAAAAAATTTAAATACTGAAAGATCGAAAAACAGAGAAATCTAAATGTCGAAAATTAAAAAAAAAGGAACAACTTAATTGTTGAAAAATTGAAGAATGGAAAAATTGATAAATCGAAAAATTGGAAAGTAGAAAAATCAAAAACTCGAAAAATCGCAAAATCAAAAAATAAAAAAATCGATTAATCGAGAAATTGAGAAATGAGATAATCGAAAACTTCGAAAAGGTAAAAACTGAAGTTTCAAAAAATTGAAAAAAAATTGAAGAATCAAAAAATTGAAAAATCGTAAAACTGAAATGTCAAAAATTTGGAAAATTGAAAAATAAAGAATTCGAAAATTCGAGAAATTGAAGATGGACACACTGAAAAATTCCCAAATTAAAATATCGAAAAATCGAAAATCCCAAAACTAAAATGCCGAAAAATCGAAAAACCAAGAAATCGAAATTGAAAATTTGACATTTGGAGAAATCGAAGCATCAAAATATGGAGAAAACGAGAAGTCGAAAAGTTAAAAATTTTAAATTTCAACATTTAAACTTAAAAAAAACGATAAATCTAAAAATTGAAAAATCGAAACATTGACATCTCAGTATATCGAGGAATCGAACACTGAAAAATCGAAAGACCGAAAATCCAAAAATTTAAAAACCGAAAAACTGTAAAATTAAAAAATAAAAAATTTTTTAAATGAAGAAAAAACAAAAAAGTGAAAAAATAAAATTTAAAAATTCGAAACATTGAAAAATGAAAAAAATTGAAATACTGAAAAATCCAAAAATAAACAAATCTAAATGCCTAAAATTTAAAAAAAATGAAAAACTAATTGTTGAAAAATTGAAGAATCGAAAAATTGGAAAGTAGAAAAAAAATTCAACTGAAATATTCGAAAATTTCGAAAAGACAAAAATTAAAAAATTGAAAAAACGAAAAACTGAAGATTCGAAAAATTGATGAAAAAAAATTGAAATATCGTTAAACTCAAAATATCGGAAAAATTTGAAAAATCGAAAAATAAAAAACCCAAAAATCGAAAATACGAAAAATCGAGTCATTGAAGATCGACAATTTGAAAATTTCCAAATTAAAATATCGAGTAATCAAATCATCAAAAAAGTCGAAAAATTGAAGAATCGAAAAATTGAAGAAGAACAAATTGAAGAATAAAAAAATTGAAAAATCGGAAAACTGAAATATCGAAAATTTGGGAAATCAAAAAATAAAAAAATCGAAAAATCTAAAATTCGAACAATTGAGGAACTGAAGATCGACAAAATCGAAAAATTCACAAACGAAAATACCAAAAATTGAAAATTTCAAAACTGAAATGTCGAAAAATTGAGAAATCGGACTTGAAAATTTGAAATATCGAGAAATGGAAATATCAAAAATCGAGAAATCGAAAAATCAAAAAATCGAAAATCAGAAAATTTTAAATTGGCACACTGAAAGTTAAAAAAACGATAAATCGAAACTTAGAAATTTCGATAAATTAAGAAATCAAAAAATTGAAAAATCGGAAAACTGAAAAACGAAACATCGAAAACTTGAAAATTCGAAAAATTGAAATATGTATTAAAAAGTTTAAACTCGTGGATTCGAAATATCAAAAAATGGTAAAATATAAAATGGAAAAAATCGAAAATCTAAAAAATCAGAAAAACCAGAAACCGAGAAATTGAAAAATTGAAAAATCGATAAATTGAAGAATCGAAAAACCAAAACATCGAGAAATTGAAAAATCCCAAAAGTGTCGAAAAATTGTGAAATTGAAAATTTTTAAATTGGAACATTTAAACTTAAAGAAAACGATAAATCGAAACATCGAAATCTCGATAAATCGAGAAATAGAAGCATTAGAAAATCGGAAAACTGAAAATCGAAAAATTGGAAAATCAATAATTTTTAAAATCGAATAATTGAAAAACGGAAAAATCTAAAAGCGAGAAGTCGAAAAATCGAAAGAGTTGGAAATCCAAACATCAAAATTCAAAAATTCAAAAAATTGAATTACTGAAAAATCGAAATGTTTTTTTTTAAACGAAAAATTTCAATATCGACAAATTGAAGAATGGAAAAATTGAATAATCAAAATAAAATTGAAAACTTCCAAAATTGAAAAATTCTAAAACCGAAACATCGAAAACTTCAGAAATCAAAAATTGAGAAATCGGAATGTAAAAAAATTAAAAAGTCGAAAAATCGGCAAATTGAAAAGTCGAAAAATCAAGGAATCGATTAATAGAGAAATTGAGAAAAGGAAAAATCGAAAATTTCGAAACGCCAAAAATTGAAATATTGAAAAGTCAAAAAATTCGAAGAATCGAAACATTTAAATCGTAAAACTGAAATATCGGAAAATTGAGAAATCGAAAAATATAAAAATCGAAAAACTGAGAATTCGAAAAATTGAGAAATTGAAGAATCGGAAAAATTGAAAAATTCGCAAACTAAAATGTCGAAAAATTGACAAACTGAAAAATCTAATTACAACAAGTCGAAAAATTGAAAGATAGAGAAATCGAAGCATCAAAAAAGTAAAAAACTAAAATCTAAAAATCAATAGAAAAACTAAAGTTCTGAAAAATCGAAAACTCGAGAAATCAAATAACTAAAATTTAAAAAATCGAAAAATTAAGTTGTCAAAAAATTAAAGAATCGAAAAAATTGGAAAATTTAGAAATCAGAACATCAAAAAGTTAAAAAACTGAAAAATCGAAGAATCGAGAAATTGAAAAATTGTAAAACTGAAATATCGGATAATTGAGAAATCAAAAAACAAAAAAAACGAGAAATCGAAAACTCGAAAAATGGAGAAACTGAAGAACGGACAAATTGAAAAATCCCCAAACTAAAATGTGAAAGATCGAGAAATCGAAACGTCAAAAAAGTGAAAGTTCTAAAAGTCAGAAGTGTTAAAATTGAAATATCAAAAATTAAAAAAAAAGAACGAAAAATTAAAATGTAGAAAAATTGAAAAATGTGGAAATCAAAACATCAAAAAATCGAAATATCTAAAAATCCCAAAATTGAAAAATCCTAGAACCGAAACATGAAAAATTGGGAAATCGAGAAATCGGAAAGTCGAAAAATGACAAAAATGAAAACTGGGGAAATCGAAAATTCGAAAATTCAAACAATCGATTTATAGAGAAATTGAGAAAAGGAAAAAATCAAACATTTTTGAAACATCAAAAACCGGAAAATTGAAAAACTGAAATATCCGAAAATTGTTATTCAATTTTGCTTTTTTTCCAAAAATCGCCAGTGTTCACAGTATTTTTATACTTTTGAGTCATTTTTCTGATTGTTCTCCTTCAATGATATATTTCATTTTTCAAAATTAACCTAAATTAAAAATTGTAAGTATCTGTTTACTTTTAATCTACTTCTTTGTTCTTATTTTTTTACATTACAGTTTCAGGAATTAAATGATTAACATTCAATTTTTGAAAAGAATCTTCAGAACTTCTGGAACCAATTGTAAGTGGTGTAATTTTTTTTGACAGCTGTAATACGTGGTCCATGGTCGCTTCCGGGCCCCATCTCCCCTACGCCGGCTAGGCAAACCTTGTCACGCGACACTATTTATCACCTATTTTTAGTTCCCAACTTTTCAGATGTTTCTCCTCCTGAACTACCAGCCGAGATGCCTTAACTCGATCTTTATTGCTCTCGAGTTTAATTTTGGCGTGAGATTTATCAAAATAGTTCACTGAATTAAAGACCAACCTAATTCCCCGAACTCCTGTTTAATGGATGAGCCCGATAAATTTGCAAATAGACACAAGATACTGTAATGTCTTTATTGCTGGATTCATAAATTTTAAACAGATATCTACAAGCTGCTTTATTTATATTTACATTATAAGTAAGTAAATTCGTCCGGGGCTACGCACGACAAGAAATCATCAGCCAATGCGAGTTGGTCGGTCTTGTAATGGGGTTCCTATTTAAAAAATGCTTCGTATACGATTACTTGAGAACGAAACGATCACGATTTTGACAATGTGAGACGATATCGTATTACTAGAACATCGAACTGTACTGAATTTACACCGTCGTAACCTACACCACCTATTCTTACAGTATTACTCTACAGTGATCCACAGAACTCCTATCCCTAAGTTTGGTCTATGTACAAGTTCGTTCCCAAAACCCCGAAAAGACAAAATCGCCCCCCACTCAACCTCTGCGCGAGTTCGAAGTCTTTTCCGAGCCTACACCCCGCAGAAAAACGAGCGTCACTCGAAAAAGTAGAACAGCCAGTAGCCAGCGTTGAACAGCAAGAAGGTGACCGGAAACACGATCCTCGAGTACTTGTCGATGACGTTGACGTCCTTGATCTTCGGCATGGAGGCCTTGAGCACCAGGGCGCCGCGCCGGATGGCGTGCAGCACCTTGGGTCGGTGCACCGAGTTGCCTGGAACGAGTTCGGTTAAACGGGGTCAGTGAAGGGCGGAAAGGAACCTTTTGACCCTCGAAGCCTCAAGCCCGCCGAAGTCCGGTAGTTGTAGGTGTAGCCGGAAGATCGCGAAATCCGGAAGCTGGGGGGGAACTTGGACGAGTCTAGGTCGCAGACGTGGGATTTGGAGTTGTGGCGGTTCCTGATGGAGGCGATCGGGCTCATCCGGACGTCCTGAAGCTCGATTATGTCTTCGGTGGTGAAGGGTTGCTCGGAGGATTTGGTCGCTGGAAATAATTGGTGACTTGTAGTATAGGGTTTTTTGTTTTGGAACTAAAGTTAAAGTGCACCTGCTGGTTGATTAATTAAGTCGCATTATTTGAGGTGGTGGCACTTTGCCATCATCGAGCGTTCCAGAGGCACCAACCCAGAACCAATTAAAATGACAGTTACTAAAGAAGTGCAGTGCTCTCACCTGAGAGACACAAAAAATCTAATAAAATACCCAAAAATAGGGATTTTATTTATAACCAGTGTGGGAGAAAAAATTAAATGTTAATGTCCGATTAGCTGAGTGCATTAAAGGTTTAATTACTTGCGATTGGCGAGGTGGAAGACACGATTAAGCGAAAGGTTGACAAACTATGGAGGAGTTTATATGAGAGTGCTGTGCGTTATAAATAGAGTGAAAATAGTATGAGAAGAACATTTGACTATTATTTCGCTTGAATACTGTCTCAAAACATTCTCAGATTTATCTGTGCGAAACGTTAGAATTTTGACAATTAAAACATTGATCACTTTTTTCTTGAATCCGTAGGCCAATGCAGTTTCGTCATTGATGTGTTCCTCTCAAAATATTTTCACTCTAGACGGAAGTACGAATTTATAGATGAAATCTATTTTTTCACTTTCAAGAAGGTTATAAACTTTTTTCAAAAATTGGAAGAAAATGTAGAGTTGAAATTGAAGAAAAAAGGTAATTTTTGGAAATTCGAGAATTAAAGGCCATATTTTTAAAAAGTTCCATTGAAGAGATAGAATTGGTGTTAGAAGAAAAGCTAGTTGATTATGAATTGGGAAAATTCTAGGACATTTTTAATAATGAAAAATCGAAACATTTAAAACTCTAAAAATTGAAAAAAGGAAAGCTCAAAAATTTTAAAAATCGAAAAATAGAAATCCCAAAAGTCAAAAAATTGAAAGATATATCAATCGAAACATGAAAAATTTTAAAAATTAAAATATCGAACAACTGAAAAATCCAGAAATTGAAAAAGTCCCAAAATTGAAATGTTGAAAAACTTAGAGAGACATCAAAAACTTGAAAAATCTAGAAATTTAAAAATCATTAATTCTAAAAAGTTTAAAATTCGATAAACCGAGATGTAGAAATAACGAAAATTTCATAAACTAAAAGATCGAGAAACGAAACAAGAAATCCAGAAATTGAAAAGTCGAGAAGTTAAAAGTAGAAACTTTTTAAAATTTAAAATAAACAAAAAAAAATCGATCAATCTTAAAATTGAAAAACAGAAAAATCTAAAACCGAGAAGTCGAAACGTCAAAAAACTGAAAAATCTGTAAATTAATGATTCGAAAAATTGTAAACTAGAAATAAGTACCACAAAACTGAAAAAATGAGTAACATAAAAAATCGAAAAACTGAAAATTTTGAAATTTAAAAATCAAAAATTAAAAAGTCCAGAAATCGAAAAATCGAAAGATCTAGCAATCGAAACAGCAAAAATTTGAAAAATGAAAATATCGAAAAATTGAAAAAAACCCAAAATGAAAAATTCCCAAAATTGAAATGTTGAAGCACTGAGAATTCGAAAATTTGAAAAATCGGAAAATCTATAAAGAAAAAATTTCAAAAGGTTTACAGTTCGATAAACAGAAATCATGAAATTGAAAAATAGAAAAATGTAAAATTTAAAAAATTAAAAAATTGAAAAATTGAAAAATGGAAAATCCAAAAGTCGAAAAATTGAAAGATCTAGTAAATGAAATATCAAAAATTTGAAAAATTGAAATGTCGAAAAACTGAAAAATCTAGAAATTGAAAAATTTTCAAATTGAAATGTTGAAAAACTGAAAAATCGAGAAATCTAAAAATCACAAAGTCTAAAAGTTTAAAATTCGATAAAAAATGTTAAGAAATTGAAGAATCGAAGAATATAAAATTAAAAAAAAAAACAATAAATGAAATTAAAAATGGAAATTCCAAAAGTCGAAAAATCCAAAGATCTAGCAACCGAAACATCAAAAATTCGAAAAATTAAAAAATCGAAAATTTGAAATATACACAAATTGAAAAGTTTTCAAAATTGAAATCGAAAACTTGAAAAATTGAGAAATCCAAAAATCAAAAAGTCTAAAAAGTGTACAATTCGATAAACCGAGTTGTCAAGAAATTGCAAAATCGAAAAATGTAATATTTAAAAATTCAAAAAAACTGGAAAGTCAATGAACTGAAAAATAAAAAATTTAAAAATTCGACAAATTGAAAAATAAAAATGTCGAAAAATAAAAAATGTATCCATTAATATGTTTCAAAGTAGCGCCACCGTCCATATTTAGGTTTTTTATAGCTGTTAACACTAAACTAAAAATCGAGAAACCGAAAAATCAAAAACTTGAAAAATGGAAATACTGAAAAATAAAGTTTAAAAATCGAAAAATCCAAAATTTAAAATACTAAAAAATTGATAAATAGTTAAATTGAAAAATCGAAAAATTGAAAAATTCCAAAATAAAAATAAGAAAAAATTGGAAAAGCGAAAAATCGAGAAGCAGAAAAGTCGAAAAATCGAAAAACCAAGAATTGAAATATCGAGAAATTGACAAACCGAACTAAATAATCGGCAAACGAAATATAAAAAGATCGAGATACGGAAAGTCGAAAAATCGAAAAATTGAAAAATTTAAATAGCCCAGAATTTAAAATATTAAAGATTTGAAAAATCAGAAAATTAAAAAATCGAAAAACTGAAAAGTCGAGGAATTGAAATCTCCAAAACTGAAATAACGAAAAATTGGGAAATCAAAAAATCCGAACATCGAAAAATGCGAAAAATTGGAAAAACGAAAAATCTAAAATCCGAAAAACCTAAAAACAGAGAAATCAAAAAATCAAAAAACAGAAATCGAAGTAGCTCAAATTTGAAAAGTTAAATATTGAAAAATTTAAAAATTTTTAATAAAAAAATGGAAAAATTGAAAAAACGGAAGATCAGAAATTTTAAAAACCGAAAAACTGAAAAACCGAACAATCGGAATATCAAAAAAAAAAAAATGAAAAACTGAAACATCGGTAAAAGAAACATCAAGAGATCGAGAAATAAAAAAATTTCAAAGTAGAGAAGTTGAAAAATCGAAAAATTGTAAAATCAAAATAATTCAAAATAGAAAAGTTATAAATCGGAAAATTAAAAAATTTAAAATAAAAAAAAAGATAAATCGAAAAATCGTAGATTTTAAAAAATTAAAAATTGAACACAGAAAAATTTGAAAAATTGGAAAATTCCAAAACTGAAATGACGAAAATTCGGGAAATCGAAAAGTAAGAAAATTGATAAAATGAAAAATTGGAAAAACGAAGAATCAAAAAGCTAAAAAGTCGAAAAAATTGAAAAATCGAGAAATTGAAAAATCGAAAAATTGAAAATCTGGACTGGAAAATCGAGAAATTGAAAAACTCAAAAACTGAAATGACGAAAAATTTATGAAATCGAAAAATTCGAACATCGAAAAATTGAAAAATTGGAAAAACGAAAAATCGAAAATACGAAAAGTCAAAAAATCGAAAAACTAAGAAATCGAAATAACGAAAACTTGAAAATCGGGAAACGAAACACTAAAAGATCGAGAAACCGAAAAGTCGAAAAATCGAAAAATTGAGAAATCGAATTAGCCTAAAATCAAAAATTTGAAAACTTAAAAACTAAAAAATTTTAAAATTCAAAATAGAGAAATCAAATCGAAAAATTGAAAAAACGAAAAATGAAAAATTTTAGAAATTAAAAATCTAAAACTGGGAAGTCGAAAATTCGAAAGAACGAGAAATCGACGCATAAAAAACTGAATTGATTCAATAAATTGAAAAATAGAAATAAGTATTGAAAAACTGAAAAATCAAGAAATTGAAAAATCTAAAAAAATTGAAAAATTGAAAAATTAAGAAATTGAAACATCAAAAAATCAAAAAATTGAAAAATAAAAACTTAAACATTGAAAAATCTAAAAAGCAAAAACGAAAAATTAAAAAATCTGAAAGCAAAAATCGAGAAACCGAAAAATTAAAAATTGAAAAGTCAAAAAACCGAATAATGATAATTGAAGAATCCAGGAATTGAAAAATCCTATAACTGAAAAATCGAAAAATTGAAAAATCGAAGAATTGAAAAACTAAAAAGTCAAAAAATATAGAAATAGAAAAGTCGAAAAATAACAAAAATCAAATAATTAAAAAATCGAAAATTGGGAAAATGAAGAATAAAAAAATCCGAAACATTGAAAAATCAAAATTAAAAAATGGAAAAATTGAAAAATCCAAAAAGTAAAAATCGAAAAATTTAAGAAACGAAAATCTGAAAAATAGAATATTTGAATCGAATGAGTCAGAAATTCCTAAAACTGACACATCGAAAAACTGAAAAATTGAGAAATCGAAATATCAAAAAATCGAAAAATTGAAAAATCCAAAAAGCAAAAATCGTAAAATTAAAAAATCAAAAATCTGAAAAATAGGATTTTGAAGAATCGATGAACTAGAAATTCCTAAAACTGAAACATCGAAAAACTGAAAAATCGAGAAATCGAAAAGTCGACAAATCAAAGTCGAAAAATCAAAAATTTAGAAAATAGAAAAATTGAAACATCGAAGAATTGAAAAACTGAAAAATCGAAAAATCTAGGAATCGAAAAGTCGAAAAATAACAAAAATCGAATAACTGAGAAATCGAAAATCCGAAAAAAAATTGAAGAATCGAGAAATCTAGAAACAGAACCATCAAAAAATCGAAAAATGCAAAAATCCAAAAAGCAAAAATCGTAAAATTGAAAAATCGAAAAACTGAAAAATAGAATAATTAAAGAATCGATGAATTAGAAATTCCTAACATTGAAACATCGAAAAACTGAAAAATCGAGAAATCGAATAGTCGACAAATCAAAGTCGAAAAATCGAAAATTTAGAAAGTAGAAAAATTGAAACATCGAAGAATTGGAAAACTGATAAATCGAAAAATCTAGAAATCGAAATGTTGAAAAACAGAAAAAACGCTTAATCGAGAAATTGAGAAACCGAAAAATCAAAACCTTAGTAATATCAAAAATTGAATAATAGAAAAATCGAAAAATAAAAAATCGAAAAATCGAAAGTCTGAAGAATCTAGAAATTGAAGAATCCAAAATTTGAAAAATCGAAAAACGGGGATTTGAAAAATCGAAAAATTGGGAAATCTAAAGTTGAAAAAACGTCGAGGAAACATAAAAGTAGCCAGTCGTCGGATGAACTCGATTACAGCGGACGAAAGAGGTCAAAAGTCACATCGAGATAACAAGAATTAGAGGACGAGTTTTATAAAAAATTGTATGCAAAATATACAAATAGATTCTGGCAATAATGACAATAGAAATGTTCAGGGACCAAAATATTCACAATTTAGAGAATTTGTATTACTTGCCGTTGTAACTACGAGTAGAAAATCATAAAAAAAAAACTCCCTTACTCGACTTTTTCTCCTCGACATCTTTTGATTTTTTACTCTTCTTCTTCGCCCTGGCGCCCCAGTACGTGTAATTAACTGCGGCGTACTCCAGCAGCGCCGCGAAGACGAACACAAAACACATCACGAGATAAATATCGATCGCTTTGACGTAGCTGATCCTCGGCAAGGAGCTCCTCACCCCCGTGCTGATCGTCGTCATCGTCAACACCGTCGTAATACCTAAAACCAAAAAACGTACTCTCCCCACCCGCAGCCCACCACCCACCTAGGGCGACTCTGGCGCTCGTCGCCTCGTGATTTATCCAGAAGGAAACCCAGGATAACATCACAATAAGAATGCTGGGGAGATATGTTTGAAAGACGAAATATCCGATGTTCCTCTGGAGCTTGAAAGATAAGGACAGCCGCTGATAGATTCCGGTCGCCAGCCTTTCTTTTCTGTCGTTCGTCTCGTATCCGATGATCGTGAACTGGGGCAGCTCGGCCTCCTCCACCCCCCGCACGGGGGTGTCTTTCCAGTACATCAAGACGTCGAGCACGGTGTAGCCATCTGGAAAACCGGAAAAATTATCCCAATCGCGAATTTCCACGATCTCACAGCTCTCGATCTCCACCGTGCAGTTCTGCGAGTCCAGGGGGTAGTAGTGGAGGTCCATCATGCACGCCAACGTGGTGGTGAAGCGCATCCCGTACGTGATGGCGCCGTCTCCGTTGAGTCGCACCAGCTTGTTCCTCTCGGTGACGTCGTGCAGGAAGCTGCGAAAAAGCTTTTCACACCACGACAACGCTCCCCACTTAGCCGAACCTGTTTTTGTCGTTGGCGAAGAACGTGTCTGGCACCCAGATTTTCTCGGCGAAGTCGCCCGAGAGGGTGAGGATCTCCTCCTCGTTGCTGAAGGCTAGCCGCTCGTCCTTCCAATATTGGTTCAGATACATCGTTATGGTGTAGTCCTGGAAATGGGCGACTTTCATTTCCGTTTTTTCGCGAGATTAGGAGCTTCGGGGAGGACGTGATTTTGCATGGACGCGTTTTAATTAAGGCCGTGTTTCGGGGATTGACGGAGCGCTTAAGTGATGCTGCAAGAAAATCTATAACCTATGAGCTGAATGCTTGATTACATCAGGTCATTAGATGCGAATCGATGGCGAAAAGACGATTAGGGGCGGGGGAGGCCGGGGGCAAGTTTTCAGACTTGAGCGACGTAGGGAGGGGGTGGAAAGAATTTTTGCTACTCGCAGTTTGGGGTTTTCGATTTTTTTACTTCGAGAAGTCTCACGAAAGTCAAAAAACGATATTTTAAAGAAAGCAAATAAAACTGTTTTAAAATAGGTCAAAATGATTCTATATATTTTTATAAGTAGGTCATATGAGACTAAACTTCTTTACTTTATATTGGATTTGAGAGTTACTGAATTTCAAAAAGGTAAAATTTCGAATTGTTAACAGTTGTTTACAAATTTATACGAAATTAAAAACAAAATTGTGATAAACTAGCTTAAAATTACTTAAAAAATCACGTTTACGCAGGAACGATGCATCCGAAATAGTAGATAAATTCAACTCCTTAATAATGCGATGGAGATGGTTTTCCCTAAGTTATTAATTACATTCTGAAACATTTTAATTGAGCTTTTTGCGCGGCCGCCTAAAAGTCCACAAACAAATCTGGGAGATAGATTTAGACGAGCTGATTCCAAAAATGTAGCATGTTGATGGTGCTGAACCAAAATTGAGAACTATGATGGAAAATTCCTGACTAATTGGCGTTTTTGTTAAAAATTGATATGTTGTAACGCTATTTCGGAGAAATTGAGAAGCCAAAAATTACTTAAAAAAAATCACGTTTACGCAGGAATGATACATCGATCAGTAAAATTAATCTCAACTTTTTAGGACAATTTGTTTTCGAAATATTCGATTCCAAAGTCGAATTTTTAAAATAACTCAAAAATTGTCATAGTACATTTTGATGATATTGGTATATTGGTTAGAATTTTGGTCGAAATGAAGCCGCGAAAAGCTTCAGAGAATCTAAATCAACAAAAAAGTTCTCTTTGCTAAATTTCAAAAGTGTTCGTAAAAAAGTCAAAAATTTCAAACGGGAAAACAAAATTGAAAAATTTAGTTTTTCGAAAAGTTGTCTAAAAGTCAAAACAAAAAAATTTGAATGGTAGATTTCGAGAAAACATGGCAACTGATGGATTTGAACCAAGATTGAGGAATATCATCTAAAATTACACAGCAATTGTGGCATTTTTGTTAGAAAGGTATTTAGCGCTATTCCGGGAAAACTGAGAAGCCAAAAGTTACTTAAAAAAACAAGTTTATGCAGGAATCATGCATCTATCAGTAAAAATAATCCCAACTCTATAGGACAGTTAGTTTCCAAAAATTCGGTTTCAAATTAAAATTTTTAAAATAACTCAAAAGTTGTCACAGTTTATTTTGGCGATATTGATGTAATTGTAAGAATTTTGGTAGAACTCAAGCCCCAAAAAGCTTGAGAGAATGGAAATCAACAAAAAATCCTTTAAACTAAATCTGAAAGGTGTTCGTAATAACTAAAAAATTTTAAACTGGGGAGAAAAATTGAAAAATTGAGATTTCAAAAAGTTGTCTACAAATCAAAAAAAAAAAAAAAAAATCTGGAAGTTGGATTTCGGCGAACTGAATGAAAAAACGTGGCATATTGGTGGTTTTGAACCGAGATTGAGGATTATCGTTCAAAATTCTGGAGCAGTTGTGGCATTTTTGTTAAGAAGGTATTTGGCGCTATTCCGGGAAAACCGAGAAGCCAAAAATTACTTAAAAAATAAAGTTTACGCATGAATCATGCATCTATCAGTAAAAATAATCGCAACTTTATATGACAATTGATTTTCGAAATATTCGATTCCAAATTCAAATTTTTAAAATAACTGAAAAATTGTCAGTTTATTTTGACGATCTTGGTATAATGCTAGTAATTTTGGTAAATATGAAGCCACAAAACGCGTCAGAGAATCGAAATCAACAAGAAATCCTCTTCACTAAATTTAGAAGATATTCGTAAAAAAGCCAAAAATTTCAAACGGGCGAGAAAATTTGAAAAAGTGTGTTTTTCGAAAAGTTGTCTACAAATGTAAAAAAAAAACTGGAAGTTAGATTTCGACGAACTGAATGAAAAAACGTGGAATATTCATGGTTTTGAACTGAGATTGAGAATTATCGTCCAAAATTCTGGAGCAATTGTGGCATTTTCCTTAAAAAGATATTTAACGCCATTCCGGGAAAATTGAGAAGTCAAAAATTGCTAAATTGCTTAACAAATCACGTTTACTCAGGGATCATGCATCTATCAGTAAAAGTAATGCCAACTCTATAGGAAAATTGGTTTTCGAAATATTCGATTCTAAAGTCAAATTTTTAAAAATAGCTCAAAAATTGTCACCATTTATTTTGACTATATTGGTGTAATGGTACGAATTTTGGTAGAATTGAAGCAGCAAAAAGCTTCGGAGAATCGAAGTTAATAAAACAATCCTCTTTACTACATCTCAGAGGTGTTTGTAATAAAGTCAAAAATTTCAAACTGAGGAGAAACATTGAAAAATTGGAATTTTTCGAAAAGTTGTCTAAAAATCCAAAAACAAAATTCTGTAACGTAGATTTCCATGAGATAAATGAAAAAACCTGGCGTATTAATGGATTTGACCCGAGATTAAAGGCTATTATCCAAAATTCCGGAACAATTGTGGCATTTTTGTTTAAAAGGTTTTTAGTGCCATTCCGAGAAAACTGAGAAACCAAAAATTACTTAAAAAATCAAGTTTACGCATGAATCATGCATCTATCAGTAAAAATAATCGCAACTCTATAAGACAATTGGTTTTTGAAATATTCGATTCCAAATTCAAATTTTTAAAATAACTGAAAAATTGTCAGTTTATTTTGACGATGGTATAATGCTAGGAATTTTAGTCAATATGAAACCGCAAAACGCTTCAGAGAATCGAAATCAACAAAAAATCCCGTTTACTAAATTTCGAAGGTGTTCGTAAAAAAGCCAAAAATTTCAAACGGGGAAGAAAAAGTGAAAAATTGAATTTTTCGAAAAGTTGTCTAAAAATCCAAAAAAAAAAATTCTGGAACGTAGATTTCGATGAGATGAATGAAAAAACGTGGTATATTAAAGGATTTGAACTGAAATTGAAAGCTATTATCCGATATTCCGGAACAATTGTGGCATTTTTGTTAAAAGGTATTTAGTGCTATTCCCGAAAAAGTGAGAATCCAAAAATTACTTAAAATTTCACGTTTACGCAGGAATAGCGCAACGATCAGTAAAAATAATCGCAACTCTATATACGACAATTAATTTTCGAAATAGTTGATTCCAAAGTTACATTTTTAAAATACACCAAAAAGTTGTCATAGTCCATTTTGACCATATTGATATAATGTAAGAATTTTTGGTATTTTGGTAGAACTAAAGCCGCAAAAAGCTTCAGAGAATTCAAGTCAACAAAAAAATCCCTTTGCGAAATTTAGAAGGTGTTCGTAAAAAAGTAAAAATCTTAAACGGGACAGAAAAATTGAAAAATTGAGTTTTTCGAAAAGTGGTCTAAAAATCGAAAAAAAAATCTAGATGGTAGATTTCGACCAGCTGAACTAAAAAATGTTACATATTGATAGATTTGAACCAAGATTGATGGCTATCATCCAAAATTTCGGAGCAATTGTGGCATTTTTGTTAAGAAGGTAGTTAAGACCATTCCGGAAAAACTGAGAAGCCAAAAATTACTTAAAAAACACGATTACGCAGGAATTATGCATCGATCAGTACAATTAATCTCAACTTTATGGGACAATTTGTTTTTGAAATATTCGATTCCAAAAATCAAATTTTTAAAATAACTCAAAAATTGTCATAATTTATTTTGACGATATTGGTATAATGGTGGGAATTTTGGTAGAACTGAAGCAGCAAAAAGCTTCAGAGAATCGAAATCGACAAAAAAATCACTTTTACTAAAATTTAAAAGTGTTCTTAAAAAAGGGAACAATTTCAAACGGGAGAGAAAAAATTGAAAAAATCAGTTTTTCGAAGAGTTAACTAAAAATCCAACAACACAAAATTTGGAAGGTAGATTTCGACAAGCTGAATGAAAAAATGTGGCATATTGATGGATTTGAACCAAGATTGAGGACTATTATCCAAAATTATGGAACAATTGTGGCATTTTTGTTTAAAAGGTATTTAACACCATTCCGGAAAAACTGAGAAACCAAAAATTACTTAAAAAAAACACGTTTACGCAGGAATTATGCATCGATCAGTAAAATTAATCTCAACTTTATGGGACAATTAGTTTTTGAAATATTCGATTCCAAAAATCAACTTTTTAAAATAACTCAAAAATTGTCATAATTCATTTTGACGATATTGGTATTATGGTAGGAATTTTGGTAGAACTGAAGCAACAAAAAGCTTCAGAGAATCGAAATCAACAAAAAAATCACTTTTACTAAAATTCAAAAGTGTTCGTAAAAAGTCAAAAATTTCAAACGGGAAAGAAAAAATTGAAAAATGAGTTTTTCGAAAAGTTAACTAAAAATCCAACAACAAAAAATTTGGAAGGTAGATTTCGACAAGCTGAATGAAGAAATCTGGCATATTGATGGATTTGAACCAAGATTGAGGACTATTATCAAAAATTTTGGAGCATTTGTGGCATTTTTGTTTGAAAGGTATTTAAGACCATTCCGGAAAAATTGAGAAGCCAAAAATTACTTTAAAAAACACGTTTACGCAGGAATTATGCATCGATCAGTACAATTAATCCCAACTTTATGGGACAATTTGTATTTAAAATATTCGATTTCAAAAGTCAAATTTTTAAAATAACTCAAAAACTGTCATAGTTCATTTTGACGATATTGGTATAATGGTCAGAATTTTGATAGAACTGAAGCCGCAAAAAGCTTCAGAGAATCAAAATCAATAAAAAACTCCCCTTTGCTAAATTTCAAAGATGTTCGTCAAAAGGCAAAAAATTTTAAACGGGAGAGAAAAATTGAAAAATTGAGTTTTTCGAAAAGTTGTCAAAAAATCCAAAAAAAATCTGGAAGGTAGATTTCGACCAGCTGAACGAAAAAATGTTGCATATTGATAGATTTCAACAAGCTGAATCCAAAAATATAACAGATTGATAGTTCTTGTCCGAGATTGAATAGTATCATCGAAAATTCCGTCGAAATCCTGGCATTTTTGTTTAAAAAATAAGTATTTATAGGAGTTTTGGAAAAACTGGGTGGTCAAAAATGAGGAAAAGCACCATATTTACGCAGGTATATATTAATGTGATAAGCGAAAATAATTTCAAGTCTGATTTTCGAAATACTTATTCGGTTTCAAATTCGAATTTTCAAAATATCTCAAAAATTAATACATTTTGGCAATTTAAAAAAAATGAGAAGAATTTTCGTAAAATTGGAGCCATAAAAAACTTCAGGTTATCGAAACCAATAAAAAATCTAATTTGAGAAATTTCTAAGGTACCAGAGAAAAGTCAAAATTTTCAAATTGAAAAAATCGGCTTTTCGCAAAGTTGCCTAAAAATCTTCAAAAAATTCTCAGAAACAGATTTCGACGAGCTGAATCCAAAAATACAGCATGTTGATAGTTCCGGTCAGAGTTTGAAGACTATCATCATGGAAAATTCCCTTAAAATCGTGGCATTTTTGTTTAAGAAGTATTTATGGGGATTTTGGGTAAACTGGGTGGCCAACTGATTTTCAAAATATTCGGATTCAAAAATCGAATTTTCAAAAATTTCAAAAATTGCCGTATTTCATTTTGGTGATTTTGGAAAAGTAGCCGAAATTTTCGAAGAACTGTAGTCGCAAAATCTCTCAAGGGATGGAAGCCAAGAGCTTTTTATTTCCATTTAAGGTCTTTGAAGTAAGTTCGTGTGTTTTAGTTTCATAGTCATTCTTTTCATTAACCTTAAGAAGATTACAGCCCGAATTATTTGAAAATTCCGTAGTAGTGCAACCGAGATCGTTTTCCCTAAGTTATTAAAAACATTCTCTTTGTGGGTTTGTTTTGCTGCCATTATTGTCACTCTGGATACTATTCATAGCTTGCTCAACTCTATTATTTAAATTAGAAGGTTCCAAAGTATCCAGAAATTTATTATTAGTTTCAACTATTCACGTGACATTTTAGCCATACAAAATTTCCAGTTATTAATCAACTCACCCAACTTACGCACTCGCCACTAATTCCATTACCACCACCCCAGCCTTACCCAGTATTATTGGGAATTAATTCGCATCCCCGTTAAATTTTAATCGCGAATTTGCGCTCTCAAGACAGAATTATCTTGCCAAATTCCGGCCCCGCGCTATCGACTCAGACCACCGCACATTTTTCCGTCCGGGACCACACACCGTACCCACGTACAACCGGAAAAACCTTACATTACCAACCATGTTTACTTCCGAGATCGCGTCGAAGCTCGCAATCGTCAGATCCATTCCGACGAAGAGTGGCTCGCCTGCGATTAAACAAATTTCCATTCGAGCTTTATTGTTTATTTACCGGGTCGATACTCACCTCCAAAATTCGGTCTTAGGCGAATGTCGTAACCCTCCAGCAGACGGTGAATTGTTTGCGTTACGTTTTCCAATCTGTCTGAGACCATGCTTCTTTGCGACCTGAAAGATTCAGAGCACGCCGCTGTAAACTTAAATCTCGAGCTAGATTTAAAAGAGCTTGAATTACATGGGGCGATAGCTTGGAGTGGTTTCTCTATTTGACGTGTTAGGAAGGTGGGCATCGATCCGAAAGAGAAGAAAGTGCCTACGCGAATTATTTATTTTTAATCTAAATGGGGGGAAGTCGGTGGAGAAAAGTTAAAGCGAGATTTCGAAGAGCGATAACCGATTTAAAATTTTTTTTTTCAAAGTAAACAATGTAGTTTTAACTTTAATAATCCGCATCAACATTTTTGAACAAACCTGAATAAAAAAAGCGTTATTTTCGAAATTAATTTCAAGAATGAACTCCAAGTGATAATTTTTCATTCACACTTTACGACCCTCTAAACCTAAAAAAGTATGAAAAAACCGCCACCTGTCGATTTCAATGTACGCAAAGTAAATATAGCCCCATGAAAAATGCAAATCCTGAAACTTTAAGCAGATCACGCCTTTGAAAAGTGACCACGATTCACGAAAAATGTCAAAAATCCGTCAAAATTCTCCCTGTCGGTGAAATTTTTTGTGCTATAAAATGTGTAATGTGCTGTGACTTGTGTGCATGGGGGTTCGCGTTCTTCGGAATTACAACCGTATTGCTTATAGCGTATGTCGCTTTGCGACCAACGTGCTGCTGTTGAAATATTTCGAAAAAAAAATGGAAAATTTTGGATTCTCGTCAAAAATGACTTTCCTGTCAGGACTAAGCAAACTCGAGTTGAAACCCCAAAAGTTACCTTACAAGAAGAGGAATCCTGGAACAAACCCCAACCAAGAGGAAGATAGAAATTAACATCGTCCCTCGCTTCTCAAGCACTTGCTTTTATGGCCATTTTTTAATAAAAAGTCACAGCAATTAGTCGCTTTCACTCATTTTAACCACAATCGTCGGCAAATATCCTCAAATTAGCAACTAGCATACTAATTGTTTACACTTTGTTTATGTGTGTTTTAGCAACAAAAATCGATTATCACTTGTGCGGACTCGGCACTCTTCCGTCGTCGACACGGCTTATCGGCACGTATTAACTCGTCGTTATTGTCATATTTATGGCAAATATAACAGCCTAACTTGGAGCTGTAACCCCTTGCTACATCCCCGTTTATCAAATGTGATTTCATCCCCGAACGCATGCGTCTGGTTCGGGCTGTCTTCGTCGGATGCTGACATCTCTGGGAGTCGATACGCGCTCTATCGCAAATTGAACACCTAGAGTACCTCTGAAAATTATACCACGAAGGAACCGGGCCTCAATTACAATAATTGGATTTTTTGTTGCGTTATTAAAATTCGAGCACGAAATTTTAGATGGGCGCAATTAGAAAGTCTGGGCTTACATAGACGGATCATGTGAAGCTAGCGGAGTGGAAAAGGCGAAGCGGGGAAGAGACAAGGTGGAGAAAAAGCGGGCTGATAAAGACTGTCAAGGATTGGTTCAGATGGAACGTTTTTGTAAAACAGCATTTTTTTCCAAAAGAAGAGTTCTAAGATGATAATAAAATAATTCTGAAAATTAAAAAAAAATAAAGTCACAACTAAAAAAATTTTTTACGTCTAAATGGTCTGATGAAAGCAGAAACTTCAACAAAAGTCTTCAAAATAACAGAAAAGGCAACCAAAACTCTCGTTAAATTAATTAATTTTTAAATTAAAATATAATTTCTAAAAGAAAACCCTTTTCTTCCCGAAAATCTAAATTTTAAGCAAGTATCGCACTTAAAAGAAATTGAAAAAGGTTATGAAATAATTTTAAAAATTAAACAAATTTCGAAGTCTCGACTAAAAAAATTGAAAAACTCGAAACAAAAAATCTGATAATAATAAATCTTTTATTTTATCAATTATGAAATATTATTGTCTTACGACCCATTTTACCTGAAACATTTAGCTTTAATGTTTAATGTTCAGAATTCCAGAAATTTTACGTTGATCAAGTGAATAATTTTCAGTCTCTGAAAAAAAATTATGTGCTTTATTTATCCCTGCTGATGTGAATTCTATTAATTTGTGCTTCTTTTTTAATTAATAAACCTTGAAAGTTTAAAATTTTTCGAAAATTAAACGTTTGGAATTTTAGAGTTATTTAAAATTCAAAAAAATTTCAAACTGTGCTAATTTTGGGTTTGGAAAACATATGACTACTGATAAAATAAACATGAAATTAACACAAAAGAAATACATTTTTACTTCTAAATGGCCTGATGATGGAGGAAATTTCCACAACATTGTTCAAAATAAACAAAAGGAAACCACAAAATTTCATTAAATCAAGTAATTTGTAAATTGAAATATTATTTCTAAAAAAAAACCTGGATAAGGAAAATATTATATTTCTTGCTTTAAAATCGAAAGCTTATTTTAACTGGAAATTAAAATCCGAATAATTCCTTTCAATGGATTTTTCTAGGTTTCTAACAAAATGCAAAATTCATGAAAAATATTGAGAAAAAGCGGTTATATCTTACAAAATTTTGACCTTTTTTTAAGAATGTAAATCTGTAACACATAGAGGTTGTACCATAAAAAAATCGTAATTTTCTTCCCGAAAATCTAAATTCTAAGCAAGTATCGCAATTAAAAAAAATTGAAAAAGGTTATGAAATAATTTTAAAAATTAAACAAATTTCGAAGTCTCGACTAGAAAATTGAAAAACTCGAAACAAAAAAATCTGATAATAATAAATCTTTTATTTTAACAATTATGGACTATTAATTGTCTCACGACCCATTTTATCTGCAAATTTTAGCTTTAATGTTTAATGTTCAGAATTCCAGAAATTTCAGGTTGATTAAGTGAATAATTTTCAGTCTCTGAAAAAAAATTATGTGCTTTATTTATCCCTGCTGATGTGAATTCTATTAATTTGTGCTTCTTTTTTAATTAATAAACCTTGAAAGTTTAATTTTTTTTGAAAATTAAGCGTTTGGAATTTTAGAGTTATTTAAAATTAAAAAAATCTCAAACTGTGCTAATTTTGGGTTTGGAAAACATGTGATTACTGATAAAATAAACATGAAATTAACACAAAAGAAAAAAAATTTTACTTCTAAATGGTCTGATGATCGCAGAAATTTCAACAACATTGTTCAAAATAAACAAAAGGAAACCAAAAATTTCATTAAATTAATTAATTTTTAAATTGAAATGTAATTTTTAAAAGAAAAACCTGGACAAGGTAAATATTATATTTCTCGTTTTAAAATCGAACGCTTATTTTAACTGGAAATTAAATAGGAATTTAAATAATCTTTTTCAATGCATTTCTCTAGGTTTCTAAGAAAATGCAAAATTCATGAAAAATATTGAGAAAAAGCGGTTATATCTTATAAAATTTTGACCTTTTTTTAAGAATGTAAATCTGTAACACATAGAGGCTGTACCATAAAAAAATCGTAATTTTCTTCCCGAAAATCTAAATTTTAAGCAAGTATCGCAATTAAAAAAAATGAAAACAGTTATGAAATAATTTTAAAAATTAAACGAATTTCGAAGTCTCGACTAAAAAATTGAAAAACTCGAAACAAAAAATCTGGTAATAATAAATCTTTTATTTTATCAATTATGGAATATTAATTGTCTCGCGACCCATTTTACCTGAAAATTTTAGCTTTAATGTTTAATGTTCAGAATTCCAGAAATTTCAGGTTGATCAAGTGAATAATTTTCAGTCTCTGAAAAAAAATTATGTGCTGTATTTATCCCTGCTGATGTGAATTCGATTTCTTTGTGCTTTTTTTTTAATTAATAAACCTTCAAAGTTTAAAATTTTTCGGAAATTAAACGTTTGGAATTTTAGAGTTATTTAAAATTCAAAAAAATCTCAAACTGTGCTAATTTTGGGTTTGGAAAACATTTGATTACTGATAAAATAAACATGAAATTTACACAAAAGACATAAATTTTAATTCTAAATGGTCTGATGATCGCGGAAATTTCAACAACAGTGTTCAAAATAAACAAAAGGAAACCAAAAATTTCATTAAATTAATTAATTTTTAAATTTAAATATAATTTCTAAAAGAAAAACCTGGACAAGGAAAATATTATATTTCTTGTTTTAAAATCGAAAGCTTATTTTAACTGGAAATTGAATTCCGGATAATCCGTTCCTATGCGGAGTTCAAAATAAATAAAATGAAATCAAAAATCTTGTTAAATTAATTAATTTTTAAATTGTATTATAATTTCTAAAAGAAAATCTTGCTAAGGGAAATATTATACTTTTTGTTTTAAAATCGAACGCTTATTTAATTGGAAATTAAATTCCTAGTAATCCTTATCTTGAAAAATATTAAGAAAAAATGCTTATGTCTTATAGAAATTTAATCTTTTTTGAAAAAGAATCTAAATCTGTAAAATATAGAGGCTGTTCCGTAAAAAATCGCGTAATTGTTTTCCCAAAGATGATAATAAAATAATTTTGAAAATTAAGAAAAAAATTGTTACAACAAAGAAAAAATTAAATCATTTGATACAAAAATCTGATCATCATAAATCTTCCATTCTATAACAATTATGGAACATTTTAAGCTTGTAAACCCACTTTTCCTGAAAATTTGAGCTTTATAATGTTGTTTAGAATTGCAGTAATTTCAAATTCATCGAGTGAATAATTTCAGATCTCTGAAAAAAAATTACTTTATTTGTCTCTACTGCGAATTTTATTACTTTGTGTTTCTTGAATTTATGAACCTTCAAAGTTCAAAATTTTTCGAAAATTAATCTTTTTGAATCTTGAACCCATTTAAAATTTAAGAAACTCAAAAATTGTGTTAATTTTAGGTTTCGAAACTGTGAGATAATTGATCGAATAGAAATAAAATTAATACAAAAGAAATACATTTTTAGTTCTAAATGATCTGACGAACGTGGAAATTTCAACAACTGAGTTCAAAATAAATAAAATGAAATAAAAAATCTTATTAAGTTAATTAGTTTTTAAATTGTGTTATAATTTCTAAAAGGAAATCTTGCTAAAGGAAATATTATATTTTTTGTTTTAAAATCGAACGCTCATTTTAATTGGAAATTAAATTACGAATCATCCGTATCAAAGCGTTTTTGTAGATTTTTCAAAAAATGCAATTACATATCTTGAAAAATATTGAGACAAAATGCTTATGTCTTATAGAAATTTAATCTTTTAAAAAAAAAAATCTAAATCTGTAAAATATAGAGACTGTTCCGTAAAAAAATCGCGTAATTGTTTTCCCAAAGATAATAATAAAATAATTTTGAAAATTAAAAAAAAATTGTTACAACAAAGAAAAAATTAAATCATTCGATACAAAAATTTGATCATAATAAATCTTTCATTCTATAATAATTATTTATGGAATATTTTTAGCTTCTAAACCCACTTTTCCTGAAAATTTTAGCTTTATAATGTTGTTTAGAATTGCAGTAATTTCAAATTCGTCGAGTAAATAATTTTCAGATCTCTGAAAAAAACTTACTTTATTTGTCTGTACCGCGAATTTTATTACTTTGTGTTGCTTGAATTTATGAACCTTCGAAGATTAAAATTTTTCGAAAATTAATCTTTTAGAATCTTGAACCCTTTTAAAATTTTAAAAACTGGAAAATTGTGTTAATTTTAGGTTTCGATAAATAAACATAAAATTAATACTAAAGAAATAAATTTTTACTTCTAAATGATCTGACAAACGTGGAAATTTCAACAACAGAGTTCAAAATATATCAAGTGAAATAAAAAATCTTGTTAAAACAATTAGTTTTTAAATTGTATTATAATTTGTAAAAGGAAAACGTGGTGAACATAAATATATTTTTTTTTATTTAGAATCGAACGCTTATTTTAGCTGGAAATTAAATTACAAACAATCCGTTTCAATGCATTTTTGTAGCTTTTTCAAGAAAATGAAAACATCTTCAAAAATATTGACGAAAAACTTTTGTATCTTATAGAATTTTAACTTTTTTTTTAAGAATCTAAATTTCTAAAACTTAGAGGCTTTCCATAAAAAATAGCATAATTTTCTTTCCAAAAAGCTAAATTTTAAACGAATATCGAAATTAAAAAAAAATTCAAAATGATGAACCAATTTTGAAAATTAAAAAAAATAAGTCCGAACTAAACAAAAATTTAAACACTCGAAACAAAATATTTAAAAATAATA